CTCTCCTATTCTCTCTATACACCAAGTCACTTGGCTCTGTCATATCCTCACATGGTCTCTCCTATCATTGCTACGCAGACGACACACAATTAATTTTCTCCTTTCCACCTTCTGATAACCAGGTGGCGAATCGCATCTCTGCATGTCTGGCTGACATATCAGTGTGGATGTCGGATCACCACCTCAAGCTGAACCTCGGCAAGACGGAGCTGCTCTTCCTCCCGGGGAAGGACTGCCCGCTCCATGATCTCGCCATCACGGTTGACAACTCCATTGTGTCCTCCTCCCAGAGTGCAAAGAACCTTGGCGTGACCCTGGACAACACCCTGTCGTTCTCCGCTAACATCAAAGCGGTGACCCGATCCTGCAGGTTCATGCTCTACAACATTCGCAGAGTACGACCCTACCTTACACAGAAAGCGGCACAGGTCCTAATCCAGGCACTTGTCATCTCCCGTCTGGATTACTGTAACTCGCTGTTGGCTGGGCTCCCTGCCTGTGCCATTAAACCCCTTGAACTTATCCAGAACGCTGCAGCCCGTCTGGTGTTCAACCTTCCCAAGTTCTCTCATGTCACCCCGCTCCTCCACACACTCCACTGGCTTCCAGTTGAGGCTCGCATCTACTACAAGACCATGGTGCTTGCCTACGGAGCTGTGAGGGGAACGGCACCTCCTTACCTTCAGGCTCTGATCAGACCCTACACCCAAACGAGGGCACTACGTTCATCCACCTCTGGCCTGCTAGCTCCCCTACCTCTACGGAAGCACAGTTCTCACTCAGCCCAGTCAAAGCTATTCGCTGCTCTGGCACCCCAATGGTGGAACAAGCTCCCCCACGACGCCAGGACAGCGGAGTCACTGACCACCTTCCGGAGACACTTGATACCCTACCTCTTTAAGGAATACCTGGAATAGTATAAAGTAATCCTTCTTCCCCCACCCCACCCCCCCAAAAAAAACACACTGCTAACCCTATGCTTAACCCTAACCTTAACCACACTGCTAACCGTATGTCTGACCCTAACCTTAACCACACTGCTAACCCTATGCTTAACCCTAACCTTAACCACACTGCTAACCCTAATGCCTAACCCTAACCTTAACCACACTGCTAACCCTATGCTTAACCCTAACCTTAACCCTAACCCTAACACTAACCCTATGCCTAACCCTAACCTTAACCACACTGCTAACCCTATGCCTATACCTAACCCTAACCTTAACCACACTGCTAACCCTATGCCTAACCCTATGCCTAACCCTAACCTTAACCACACTGCTAACCCTATTCAGTGATTCGCTGCTCTGGCACCCCAATGGTGGAACAAGCTCCCTCACGAGTCACTGACCACCTTCCGGAGACACTTGATACCCTACCTCTTTAAGGAATACCTGGAATAGTATAAAGTAATCCTTCTTCCCCCACCCCCACAAAAAAAAAAAAAAAAGGTGGTTGTCCCACTGGCTATCATAAGTTGAATGCAGCAATTTGTAAGTCGCTCTGGATAAGAGCATCTGCTAAATGATGTAAATGTACATGTAATGAAATGATTACCTGTTTCTAAATATTTGGTCACATGATTAACTTAGTGTATGGTTTCCAATGACTGTATATAGTTCCTAGAAACAAGGGGTTGGTCATCACTAGCGACCACAGCCACAAAGTCATAAACACAGTCTATTTCTACAATTTATGTTCTTAAACTTAAAACTTAACCCTAACTTAACCCTAACCTTAACCACACTGCAAACCCTATGCCTAACCCTAACCTTAACCACACTGCTAACCCTATGCCTAACCCTAACCTTAACCACACTGCTAACCCTAACCTTAACCACACTGCTAACCCTATGCCTAACCCTAACCTTAACCACACTGCTAACCCTATGCCTAACCCTAACCACACTGCTAACCCTAATGCCTAACCCTAACCTTAACCACACTGCTAACCCTATGCCTAACCCTAACCTTAACCACACTGCTAACCCTATGCCTAACCCTAACCTTAACCACACTGTTAACCCTATGCCTAACCCTAACCTTAACCCTAACCTTAACCACACTGCTAACCCTATGCCTAACCCTAACCTTAACCACACTGCTAACCCTATGCCTAACCCTAACCTTAACCACACTGCTAACCCTATGCTTAACCCTAACCTTAACCACACTGATAACCCTATGCTTAACCCTAAGCTTAACCACACTGCTAACCCTAATGCCTAACCCTAACCTTAACCACACTGCTAACCCTATGCCTAACCCTAACCTTAACCACACTGCTAACCCTATGCCTAACCCTACCTTAACCACCACTGCTAACCCTATGCCTAACCCTAACCTTAACCACACTGCTAACCCTATGCCTAACCCTAACCTTAACCAACCACTGCTAACCCTATGCCTAACCCTAACCTTAACCACACTGCTAACCCTATGCCTAACCCTAACCTAACCACACTGCTAACCCTATGCTTAACCCTAACCTTAACCACCACTGCTAACCCTAATGCTAACCCTAACCTTAACCACACTGCTAACCCTATGCTTAACCCTAACCTTAACCACACTGCTAACCCTATGCTTAACCCTAACCTTAACCACACTGCTAACCCTATGCTTAACCCTAACCTTAACCACACTGCTAACCCTATGCTTAACCCTAACCTTAACCACACTGCTAACCCTATGCTTAACCCTAACCTTAACCACACTGCTAACCCTATGCTTAACCCTAACCTTAACCACACTGCTAACCCTATGCTTAACCCTAACCTTAACCACACTGCTAACCCTATGCTTAACCCTAACCTTAACCACAACTGCTAACCCGATGCTTATGCTTAACCCTAACCTTAACACCACACTGCTAACCCTATGCTTAACCCTAACCCTAACCCACCTGCTTAACCCTCCATGCTTAACCCTAACCTTATTGAACCACACTGCCTACCCTATGCTTAACCCTAAACCTTAACCACCACGGCTAAACCCGATGTCTGACCCTAACCTTAACCCACACTGCTAACCATATGCTAACCCTAACCTAACCACACTGCTTAACCCTATGATTAAACCTAACCTTAACCAAACTGCTAAACCCTAATGCATAACCCAAACCTTAACCACACTGACTAACCCTATGTTAACCCTACCTTTAACCACACTTGCTAACCTATGCCTAACCCTTTAACTGAACCACACTGCTAACCTATGCTTAACCCTAACCAACCACCACTGATAACCCTATGCTTACCCCTAAGCTAACCACACTGCTTAACCCTATGCCTAACCCTAACCTTAAACCACATGCTAACCCTATGTCCTATAACCCTAAAGCTCCTAACCACACTGCTAACCCTATGCTTAACCCTAACCTTAACCCACTGCTAACCCTATGCCTAACCCTAACCTTAACCACACTGCTAACCCTATGCTTAACCCTAACCCTAACCACCTAACCCTATGCTTAACCCTAACCTTAACCACACTGCTAACCCTATGCCTAACCCTAACCTTAACCACACTGCTAACCCTATGCTTAACCCTAACCTTAACCACACTGCTAACCCTATGCTTAACCCTAACCTTAACCACACTGCTAACCCTATGCTTAACCCTAACCTTAACCACACTGCTAACCCTATGCCTAACCCTAACCTTAACCACACTGCTAACCCTATGCTTAACCCTAACCTTAACCACACTGCTAACCCTAATGCCTAACCCTAACCTTAACCACACTGCTAACCCTATGCTAACCCTAACCTTAACCACACTGCTAACCCTATGCCTAACCCTAACCTTAACCACACTGCTAACCCTATGCTTAACCCTAACCTTAACCACACTGCTAACCCTATGCTTAACCCTAACCTTAACCACACTGCTAACCCTAATGCCTAACCCTAATCTTAACCACACTGCTAACCCTATGTCTGACCCTAACCTTAACCACACTGCTAACCCTAATGCTTAACCCTAACCTTAACCACACTGCTAACCCTATGCCTAACCCTAACCTTAAAGACCAAAAAGCTCATTTTTGTTTTCATGAATTTTTACAATATAGCCAATTTCGACTTTGTGGCTGTGGTAACTTGTGAAACTCAAGGGGTACCTCAACTAATGGTTATCCTTGGGACGCCCGTACCCTAAACCCTAACCCCTACCCTTACCTGTAACCCTTACCTAACCTTAACCCTAATCTTAACCCTTTCCTTAAACGTTTGAAACGTCAACTTCAATGGGGTGACGTCAGAGTTAGGACGTCCCAAGGACACAGTTTAGACATTTTCTTGCCTTTGGCATCGGTTACCCCACTCTCCCCTAGCGGGAAAAAAATGAATAAACTGCAGTGTTTCTCAAAAGATTAGACTTGGCCTAGAACAAATAAATGAATAATTCTAGCTAAGGAAAACTGCATGCAATTCAATAACATAGCAATGCATTCAACATACACATTACATACCATACAAACAAAGTACTGTATGTATTGATTACTATTGCCAATTTAATGTAGTAACGTTGCATTGAGTCAGGTGACTGCCATCAGCTGATTGCCCTCCAGACAGACAGATTATGGCCGACCTGTCAGAAGCTCAATTAGGAAACGGCTGAGTTTAGCATAATCGATTCTCTTTTTACGCCTTCTGGGGCTCATATTTCACTATCGTGGACAACATTTGCCAACAGTTACTAAGGTGAGTTTAATAAGAATATCGCTGAAAGAGCGTGAGTACGCTCTCAATGCATCATTGCCTAGTTAGCCAGTCCCAGGCGGTGCATAAACGTTCCTTCAACTAACTAACTATCTATCATTCCAAATGACTTTTTGCGAAAGCTTGTGACTTCCCAATGAAACATTGCACCAACAATGTTCGTAAGCTAGTTTGCTAGCTAACGTTAACTAATCTGTCTTGCTTACATTGCAATAAAGCAGCCAGTGGAGACAATTTATTTAACTCGCATTTGCCAATCCATGCCTGTGTTGATAGGTCGCTATCAAGTTGTATCATTTGGGCTGCTTATTGACATATCAGGTAATGGATCGCCAAGTGTGGGAGAGACCCTGGACCTTGGAAGAGATGCGACAGACCAGCGCCAACTGGTCCCTGGCTGCAGACTCAGGAGTAGGCTAAGTGGAATTTGTTTATGGCCCTCATTTAGGCTTTGGTTATTATCTCTTGACTTATTCCGTTTCTGAATAACCGACTGTTTCTTCTGCATTTAACAATGTGTCATCTGCTGCCTTGGCAAGACAGCAACAAGGTGGCTGAAGCAGAAATAGACTGGCAGGCAGGCTCTCAGCCTCTGAATCTACATGTTATGGGTAGAGCAATCACATAGCATTGTAAACAGTAACACAACAGATTAACTACCTATATCTCTGTTGCAAAGACAATGTCCGCTACTGGACAAAAAGATACTGTTGAATAGATGAAGATTAAACAGCGGTTCGTATCCCCTCCTCCACAGCTCTTCCTGTTCCTGCAAGACTTCTCTCAGAGGATGCTGTCAAAGACTCATGAGATAGAGAAGCAGCTGGATGGACTGATCAGAGACAGCAAGGCCACAGACTGCTGCCTGCACACCGTCTTTAACGACTTCCTCATGCTCTCCAACACACAATTCATTGAAAACGTACGTTGTGGTGTGGACCGGAAATACCATGTCCGTGTTCATTAGAGCATTTTAACGGTAGAGAGCGGACTGAAACAGGGAAAGGACTACCTGTACTTGACTTTTCTAATAAGTAACACATATTTATTTATTTTTTGCTTCAAATGTATGTTTTACTACAGTGTGCCCAAATGAACACGACCCATGTCTTGTTCCTCTGTTGAGCTAGGTGCCCCTCTTCTTTAGAGGATGGCTGTGCCGTGTTTGACATTATCCAGGTCTTTTGAAACTTCACAAGCTTTTAACAAAATTAAGAAAAGATGAATCGTGCTACATGGTACGGAACTATGAGGAACTGATTCCTCTTGTGTTTAATTATGTGGCTGCTCATGATTCCTCCTCTTTTTCTTGACTATCACAGGGTGCTGTGTTACATTGATAGATACTAACTCATTCTTCTTGTATTGATTGTGTGATATGTTATTGATCTTTGTGTTTGTTTGTTGACCTCATCAGAGAGTGTATGATGAGGAGGTGGAGGAGCCCGGGCCAAAGCCTGAGGCCTTGGAGAGACCGCCTGAGCAGGTAAATCATCGACCTACTTCTTCCTTGATGTGTTACGATGTTATGTATAGCCCTGTGACATCGTGATTTCCTCCCCGGGGATAGTTAAATTCAATTTCCCCGCGGGAGAAGACTCGTGAGCAGAAGGAAGCCGAGCTGATTCCTAAGGTCCAGGAAGCAGTGAACTACGGTCTGAGGGTGCTGGACTCTGCCTTTGAGCAGCTAGATATCAAGGCAGGAAACTCTGACTCAGAGGACGAGGAGGCCACAGACAGAGTGGAGCCCATACTGGAACCCAAGGTGAGGGTGGAATCATCTGGAAACATACAGGATTAGAGAGAGAATTCAAGTTGCTTACTTCCAGATATCGCGTTAGGACTAATACCTGCCCAGTACAGTCAAGGGAGGATGGCCAATTTTTCTACGCCATTATTCTTTTGATCTCTCTTTGGGGTCTAGGCCGTGTTAAGCACTTTGTGACTGTTGATGTACACTTTTTATTTTTAGACTAACATTTGATTTGAATGATTCTGCCCGTATTGACCAATGATGTTATCTCTTGCCGCTTCTTCCCCACTCTTTCTTTCTCCAACCCACCTCTCTCTCTCTCTCTCTGTAGGACCTGTATGTGGACAGGCCTTTACCGTATCTGATTGGCTCTCAGCTCTTTATGGCGCAAGACGACATAGGACTGGGAGACCTCTCCAGTGAAGGTAGGTCACCTCACCTCTACGTTCTTCATGTACTATTTCTACTGAAGGAGGGTGTGTGTGTTCTTTGCATGTGTTTATGTTGTTAGTGTTCAACACTCTTCCAAGCATAGTGTTTCTAGTCTAACATTAGTCATGTTTCTCAGAGAGAAAGTGAAACTGATGTAATTTTTTATTTCACAGAAATGTCAATCGACAGCGATCGAGAGAGCGTCATCGAGAGCGGAGATGGCAAAGATGTGGGCGTAAGTCTTTTTCATCTTTTCATCCAGAAAGAGTCAGATGTTTTTTTAACAGAGTGAAGTTGGCATTATTGTACATCCTCAAAATAAGTAGAAAATACTGACAATTTGATTTAGATAACTTTATTATCCCTGTGGTGTTTGTGACAGCAGTCAGATGACGACTTTGACCAGGAGGTGGAGGGGCCAGGCAGCATTAAGAAGGTGAAGGTCAATTTCACTGTGACTGTCAGGGTCAACGTTCAAACCCAGAGTTAGTGGATATCTCTGTGATAACAATAAAAAAAACATACAGGATTGTATCTCTGTGTGCACAATTCTGACAATGGATGATTAGGGTATTTGCCAATTTAATCAATGATGTAACACAACAGAAAAGTGTGTGATTGATTGAATCCTACCTACACTCTGGACACTGGCATGCTGTTGTTCATGGCGACGATGGTAATGATAACACCTTAGTGAGGATTGTGATGTTATTTGCAACCTCATGGATGACATTGAATGATTTCCCCTGCAGAAGTCGTCTATGTTGAGTGTTGAGGAGGACAAGGAGGGGGATTCAGACATATTTGGAGAATCGGACAGCGATGAAGATGACAGAAAGGTATGTTTGATTATAGTTTGCTGGTGGAGACTGATACTAACATTATTACGGACAGATAATTTATTAAATGTAACTATCCTTTATCTAGGTAAGTCAACATTGCTAATACATTAGTTTTATGACTTGAGGGAACATAATGGATGTGTCATGTCTCAGCTATTGAATGTAGATGTAAATGTGAAATATTTGTGTCCCCTTGCATTAATATTGATGTTCTATTCCACCTCTCTTTTACGGAAGTCTTTGTGTCACATTCAGAACACAGGACCATCATCCTTTGCTGATGAGCTGGCCGCCAGAATCAAAGGGGAACCTATCAGCAAGCCGGAGGGAGATCGCACATGTATGTTGGTTTGATATTACCTGTATTGCAAATTATTCATTATCACCTCCACAATTTCTTGGTTTATCTTAAACATATAATGCTTTCTGTATGAGCTCATCTGCTAGCCTGGGTACCAGTGTGTTTCTGCTAGCCTGGGTACCAGTGTGTTTCTGCTAGCCTGGGTACCAGTGTGTTTCTGCTAGCCTGGGTACCAGTGTGTTTCTGCTAGCCTGGGTACCAGTGTGTTTCTGCTAGCCTGGGTACCAGTGTGTTTCTGCTAGCCTGGGTACCAGTGTGTTTCTGCTAGCCTGGGTACCAGTGTGTTTCTGCTAGCCTGGGTACCAGTGTGTTTCTGCTTTAGCCAACTTATTGCCAAATGATCGTAGTGCCCTGTGTTTTGTGCATTAATGTGACATGCCTGGATTTTTTTATTGAAAGCTTTTTCATCAAAATGTCCCCTTTTTCTTTTTGTGACAGATGGTCCAGCACCACCCTAAGACAATTGCTTGAATTTTTGATGTAATTCTCAATTCAGGCTTAAAATACAGGATAACGTCTTGCTATGTCATATGACTGCACAAAACAGTCTGGCACCCAGATCTAATGATACACTGCACTCAATTGAAGAACAATCTGCCTAAATTCATGTATCTGTCCTCTCTGTTTTGATTATTATGGTCACTGTTTGCTCCATACAAGTTTCAAGATGTGTTTTCAGTTGGCACGATTGTACATAATGTAGGTCATACATCAAATGTGATGTCATAATGCAAATAATGTCTCAGTCTTGGCAGATTACAACAGCACATACATGTTTCACTACATATCATTGTTCTGCATGTGCATGCTCATGTTTCCTTCCCCGTGTCACTTCTCTGAAGCGTTGTCGTCTGCCTCTAAGAAGAACAGTAAAGCAAAGAAGGAGCCCAAGCCTGAGTGGCCACCGGGTAGGACAGCAATTCACTCACTTATCTAAAATAGTTTTCTTTACTACGCATTGTGTACAAGCACCTAATCTCACACTATGTATCCATTTATATTGTATCTGCTAAGCTAACTGTTACTTCATAACACTTCAGTCAGAAGAGCATCAGTGGAGTTGGTCTCGCTGCAAAGTGACTGAATTAGATATAATTTCACAAGCAGTCATGACATTGCGGTATTTACCAGTAATTTCATTGACTTGTTGTTGTTGACACCTGTTTGTGTTGTTGTAGCTGTTGAAGATGACAGCGAGGAGTTGTTCGGGCTGCCCAAGATGGAGGATGAGAACTTCTCTCCGTTTGGAGGGAAAGGAAGCCTCTTCAGCGGAGGGAGAGGACTGTTTGATGATGAGGAGGTAGGCTCACCTGAACGCCATTTTGTAGCTTCCATATCTTACTTTTTCCATGTTACTTAACCCATTGTAATTTCACATAAGATGATGGATAGAAATCAATAAGCGAACCGTTCAAAGAAAACAATCAATCTACAGCCTGTTAAATGCTCCCAAAGAGTACATGAAATGAGTTTTGTCTGAAACCATAGTGACCCTAATGATATGACGTTTGTTGTCCAGGGGGATCTGTTCTCTGTAGCAGAGGAGAAGACCTCAGGTAATAATAGCCATACAACCATCTGTTGAAACGCCAAGGCTGTTTTCATTAGGGCACACTTTAGATGTTTCAGATAGTAGCTTTCCATTTCTCTCAGTTTCGGGATGTTTTCTTATAAGTGAATTGAGAATGTTGTGCAATGGCTGTGGTCACTGTTTCTAATTTAATTTTCGTGGGTTACCTTATTCATTTTGAGAAATGCTTTTTCCTGGACGGTATAGAGACTTTGACCTGTTAACAGAACCTGTATGTCTCTGTTGTGTTTCTGCCAGAACCTGTCAAGCCTGCTACGAAGATTCCTTCAGGGGCTGTGTCAATATTCCCAGGTAACAGAAACATACCCCAAGGACAGCAAAGGCCTTTCAAAGATGATAAAGATGATTACATAGTAATAACAGGGTTACTCAGGAATGGGAAGGACACTTTTCTGGGGCTTGAGGACATAATGCCTCTTTAGATTTGGTCTTGCCTTTCTGAAACGGAATTGGATTTATTCAATTCAAACTAAATACTACTACAAAACACGACTACAGACAGTCTACGATGTTGACAATTCTGTGATGGTATTGACAAGTTCATCCTCTACATATTTGATCTGACAAGTCTATCCTGTCCTGTTCTTTCCCCATAGAGAACAGCCTGTTTGGCACTCCCAATGACTCAGACTCAGTGGAGGGTAGAGAAAGAGGTATCCCAGACAAACCCAACAAGACCCAGACATCAGCCCCTAGAAAGACCGCAGGAGGAGGAGGAGGAAGAGGAGGAGGAGGAAGAGGAGGAGGAGGAGGGGGGCTGTTCGATGAGGAGGATGTCTTCTTCACCGGTAAAAGCCTTAAAAAGTCCAGCTCAGGTAAGTCAGTCGAACCGTAACCTCTCTTTCTAACACGGTGGGCAAGATCCGAACTTGAGATCAACGATCGTAAATATCAGTGAAAATCTTACGTTGACATCACGCTAATACATAATTTACTCTTACAGTGAGGGGAAAAAAGTATTTGATCCCCTGCTGATTTTGTACGTTTGCCCACTGACAATGAAATGATCAGTCTATAATTTTAATGGTAGGTTTATTTGAACAGTGAGAGACAGAATAACAACAAAAAAATCCAGAAAAAACGCATGTCAAAAATGTTATAAATTGATTAGCATTTTAATGAGGGAAATAAGTATTTGACCCCCTCTCAATCAGACAGATTTCTGGCTCCCGGGTGTCTTTTATACAGGTAACGAGCTGAGATTAGGAGCACACTCTTAAAGGGAGTGCTCCTAATCTCAGTTTGTTACCTGTATAAACAACACCTGTCCACAGAAGCAATCAATCAATCAGATTCCAAACTCTCCTCCATGGCCAAGACCAAAGAGCTCTCCAAGGATGTCAGGGACAAGATTGTAGACCTATACAAGGCTGGAATGGGCTACAAGACCATCGCCAAGCAGCTTGGTGAGAAGGTGACAACAGTTGGTGCGATTATTCGCAAATGGAAGAAACACAAAATAGCTGTCAATCTCCCTCGGCCTGGGGCTCCATGCAAGAACACACCTCGTGGAGTTGCAATGATCATGAGAACGGTGAGGAATCAGCCCAGAACTACACAGTAGGATCTTGTCAATGATCTCAAGGCAGCTGGGACCATAGTCACCAAGAAAACAATTGGTAACACACTACACCGTGAAGGACTGAAATCCTGCAGCGCCCACAAGGTCCCCCTGCTTAAGAAAGTACATATACAGGGCCGTCTGAAGTTTGCCAATTAACATCTGAATGATTCAGAGGAGAACTGGGTGGAAGTGTTGTGGTCAGACAAGACCAAAATCGAGCTCTTTGGCATCAACTCAACTCGCCGTGTTTGGAGGAGGAGGAGGAATGCTGCCTATGACCCCAAGAACACCATCCCCACCGTCAAACATGGAGGTGGAAACATTATGCTTTGGGGGTGTTTTTCTGCTAAGGGGACAGGACAACTTCACTGCATCAAAGGGACGATGGACGGGGCCATGTACCGTCAAATCTTGGGTGAGAACCTCCTTCCCTCAGCCAGGGCATTGAAAATGGGTCGTGGATGGGTATTCCAGCATGACAATGACCCAAAACACACGGCCAAGGCAACAAAGGAGTGGCTCAAGAAGAAGCACATTAAGGTCCTGGAGTGGCCTAGCCAGTCTCCAGACCTTAATCCCATAGAAAATCTGTGGAGGGAGCTAAATGTTCGAGTTGCCAAACGTCAGCCTCGAAAACCTTAATGACTTGGAGAAGATCTGCAAAGAGGAGTGGGACAGAATCCCTCCTGAGATGTGTGCAAAACTGGTGGTCAACTACAAGAAACGTCTGACCTCTGTGATTGCCAACAAGGGTTTTGCCACCAAGTACTAAGTCATGTTTTGCAGAGGGGTCAAATAGTTATTTCCCTCATTAAAATGCAAATCAATTTATAACATTTTTGACATGCGTTTTTCTGGATTTTTGTTGTTGTTATTCTGTCTCTCACTGTTCAAATAAACCTACCATTAAAATTATAGACTGATCATGTCTTTGTCAGTGGGCAAACATACAAAATCAGCAGGGGATCAAATACTTTTTTCCCTCACTGTAGGTATGTGAATCAAGTTTTCACCTTATTTTTCATTCATGCAGTAATTTTCACATCTTAGATCTTGCCACACTATGACTGTCTTTAGCACAAGCACTCATAATGTGTTGCCACCTGTGTTCAGCTGGACAGGAGAAACTCAAGCAGAAGAAGACAGGGGATCTGTTTGGAGGAGGTGATGAAGATGAGGATGGTGACATCTTCAGTGAGAGCTACGGCGCTCAGAGCAGGAGGGAGGTGGTGGAGGAGGTGAAAAAGGTGAATATACACACGTGTACAGAGCATTGTTTTTACGTATGCTGTATCATAGGGCCTCCACTCACTGCTTTAGAATGTAGAGAAAAACGGGGTAATTCAACAGGGTGCTACGAAAGTCATGTCAAAATGTTGTAGAGTTCTATTGAGCAGTGACCACTTTTTGATCATGCCTGTGATGACATTCCATTTACTCTAAACATGCTAAATTCTCTGAGTAAATTGTCTAACGTTTGAACCATCTCTGGTAGTGACATGGGGTTTAGACTATTGTTTTTCTGACACAATTCTCTATTGAATGGACACATTTGTATATACCTTGAATTAATTAATACTTTTATGGGTGAACATCTTACATATTAAGTGGGATACTTGTTGATTGACAACATTATTAGCGTGATCATGGTTATTAATTTAGGGGACTTGGGTATCATGATTACATGTTGCTTACTTACAGTAGTGTTGATGAGTTGCACTGATGATGGTTGTTGGTTTCAGTGATGAGTTGTGCTGAGGATGATGATGGTTGCTGTGATGAGGATGATGATGGTTGTGCTGAGGATGATGGTTGTTGGTTGTGTTTAGATGCCAGCAGGAGGTGTCTCCATGTTTGGTCCTGGTACCAAGAGCCTGCTGACTGAGGCACTGAAGAAACAACAGCCCTCCACCAGCCAAGAGTCAGAGGAGGTGGGAGTCCTCTTTCATCCATTCCATCTCTCTTCAAAGAGAGAGGGAGAGAGGGAGATGCGGGAGAGAGAGAGAGGGGGAGGAGAAGAGAGAGAGGGAGAGAGAGGAGAGAGAGAGACGAGAGAGAGAGAGCGAGAGAGAGAGAGAGCGAGAGAGAGAGGACGAGAGGAGAGAGAGAGAGAAGGAGAGAGAGAGAGAGGAGAGAAGAGAGAGAGAGAGAGAGAGAGAGAGAGAGGGGGGAGAGGGAGAGGGAGAGAGAGAGAGAGAGAGGAGCGGAGTGAGGCGGGGAGACGTAGAGGAGGGCGAGAGAGACGGCGAGCGATGGAGAGCTCGTTCCTTCAGGATACTAGTCTATCTAGCTTGATCTCTCTCTCTCTGAGCTCGTATCTCTAGCGACGTCTCTCTCTCTATTCTATCTCTTCTCTATGCTCTCTCTCTCTTTCTCTCTCTTCTCTCTCTCTCATATTCATTCATATATATATTGTAGAGCTGTAAAACTCACAGGTGTGCTTCTTGTTTTTAACACTTATTCTTAAGTATGTGTCCATCACCTGAATCTTGTTGATGGAGGTACTTCTCATTCTTATCAATTACATCAATATCTACATGATCTGTACAAGGAATGCTTAGAATCAGGGTTCGCACGAGGTGCTTAAAGTACTTGAATTTGGCACTCTGAAATTCAAGTACTGGAATACATTCAAAATCAGACATTTTCTTAAGTTGGTACTTGAAAAGTACTTGAATTAAAATGAGAGGAGAACAGATAATGATCAAATGTTAATATGAAAAATATTAGAAAAATGTATTGGTCTTGCAAATTAATTTCCAGGCAGACTACCGAGTTTTGTTTCCTCACATGTTTCGCGCTGTGGTTGCCAGGCGAGTTCGCTCATTCCACCTACGCTGCTACTCAGTCAGGCAGGTACAGAACTGACTGATTAGGCGCCGCCAAACGTCACATCAATAGCTAAAATGCCGGTAAAATGTAGATTCAATCCTGCCTTTTGTGCATATGGAACATTTCTGGGATATTTTATTTCAGCTCATGAAACATGGGACCAACACTTTACATATTGCGTTTGATAGTTTTGTTCAGTATAGTTTACCCACCTTTTACCACTACATCACTGGACCCAACCAACACACACAGTGTAAGGTGCAAAAAATACATCAGACTTTGACATGGTGAGCATGGGTGAATCGGCCCAGAAGAGTCACATGAACGGGAAAAGACACAACGCTGCATCCTGCGCTGGCGCCAGTTCAACATAAAAAAAGGTTTTCTCTGCATCAACCTCCAGAGTTTTTTTGCTAATCGCCTCATTCACGGGGCGCCCGCGATATTACGCTTTATCAAGCGGCAGCCGTGCTCCTGCCGTTCTGGTGGCCGTTCACATGCTGTTTTTCTCACACAGCCCACACGCCCTTCTCCCGACCGGCAACACTAAAGCTGCCAGTTGGAAACAAGACACTTTTTCGTAGCTATTAAGTAGTAGATTCCCAAATGCCCAATAAAAGCACAGGCATTAAGCTGGAATTGTGTAGTAACGTGACTAGGACATGTGTTCACCACTCTGCTCATCACTACTCTGCTCATCACCACTCTGCTCATCACTACTCTGCTCATCACTACTCAAATTACAAAATCATCAGTACTGACTTACCACTCATGTATGTAGTGAAACGTAGAACTTGTAAGGTAGTGATGAATACTAAGTTCTTTTTTTTTTTCCTCAATGAGGCTGTAGCGATATACTGCCACCAGGTGGCGACTAGAAACAATTACATAATATGAACTATTACAATTTGATGGTCCTTGAAAATAAATATGAATGCTTGAAAAAGTACTTGAAAGTCCTTGAATTTGAATTGCCACTGTCTGTAGGATGTTCGGGGTGATCATGAAACATGATAAAGATATTGCATATGCTTTATTGTTTTACAGTTTTAACCCCACCTTTCTGTTCCTGTCTTTCTACAGATATGTCCAACCATCCCTAAGAGTCAGTCCAAGCCTGAACCCACACCTCAGAGCAAAGCCAGCAAAGCTCCTCTGTCCATCTTTGATGACGAGGAGGAAGAGGTGAGAAGATGAGCCTGACCTATATCAGTCCATAAAATATGATTAATTTGCATCTTCATATCTAACCACTTCCTTTCATCATGCAGGATCTGTTTGCGTCTGCAAAGAAGTCTAAACCAAGCCAAGCTGAAGCCGTCACACCACATGTCAAAAAACATCTCTCTATCGCCCTCTTCAGTGATGACAAGGTAATGGGAGGGAACGGAACCTTGCTACATAAACTTCAGTTCAACTTCAGCCTTTCAGAAAATAATGCCTAGCCCCCTCCTGTAGCCACTCCCCCTTTGGTATTCACAGATCTGAAATAACTGGAGAAGTGTGTGGGCAATTCCACGGTAACGGAGTGATACTGAGACTCCGTTTTTACCATTTTAAAAAGGTATGTTAATAAAAAAAAAAAAAAAAAAAAAAAAAAAACAATGATTGCAAAGTTAAACAAACCATACAACTCTAGGCACAAGGAAAACACATTTACTTGAAGAACAGTACAGATGTAAAATTTGGTAACAGAATGAGGGCACCAACAGCACAAACCGTCATTCTGTTACCAAACTTTGCATCTGCACTGTTCTTCAAGTAAATGTGTTTTTGTAACAATTTCTGTGGAAATTGTTAAACGTTGTCCTTGTGCATAGGGTTGTATGGTTTGTTTAACTTTTTAATCATTGGTTTTTGTTTGACATACATTTTAAAGTGAAAGATCTGAGTCTCTGCATCAGTCTGTAACCGTGGAATTGCCCATAGCCAATATGGTTATGGCAACTCCATCCAATGGGCTTAGGACAGCTTCAGATATGAATTAGCTTACAACCATCCTATTCCTACAAATCTGCAAACACCAGAAGGGTATGGGGCAAGGGCCAGATTTTGAACCGGGCTTGATAGTGAAGGTTGTCTCTAATACTTCAACAGATGCTATCTATTTAACCCTTTGTATTCTGTCTGTATCAGGACCAGTGGATGAACTCCAAGCCGAGTGCTGGTAAGACAGAGGGTAAGACTGGAGGGATGAAGTCCAGTGATAGCGCCCCATCTAGTCTACCCAGTGTCATAGCAGCTCCTAAAGACAGCCTGTTCGATGAGGATGATGACGATCTCTTTGCTACTACCAAGGAGTCGAGGTAAACTTCATATCCATAGTAGACAACAATGGAGACATTATGGTAAAATGTTTGACTAGTGCCCCCCCAAAAATACAAAAACATGGTTGACTCAACCTATAGTTAGGGTCTTAGTGTCGTTTTGATGGGTGTAAATGGCTGTGTTGATGCAGTCAGAAGAAGCCACAGAGAGTGTCTCTCCTGTTTGAAGATGAGACTGAGGATGATGAAGATACGCGATGCCTCTTCGGCTTCAAACCAGCCGTCAACAACAGCTCTACTCTAGCTGACCCTAAAGTAAGCCTGGGTTACAGATTCTGGCTGTGTCACAAATGGCACCCTATTCCCTATATAGTGCACTATATAGGGAATATGGTGCAAATTTGGGAAGCAGCCACTGTCATGAATGAATAATCTATAGGTGAAAAGCCTTTGAGGGAACAATGGAATTCAGTGATATGTAGGCTCTTATCTATTATTTTAAAACAATGAAAATATTGAATTAAAATGTGTTTTTATTCATGATAGTTTTCTTGAGAAAGTACAGTTTTTATGTACTCTTCATGGAATATATGTGTGGTAACATCCCTGCAGTGATATGTACAGTGCCTTGCAAAAGTATTCATCCCCCTTGGTGTTTTTTCCTATTTTGTTACATTACAACCTGTAATTTAAATTGATTTTTATTTGGATTTCATGCAATGGACATACACAAAATAGTCAAAATTGGTGAAGTGAAATGAAAAAAAATAACTTGTTTCAAAGAAGCCCCTAAATAAGATCTGGTGCAACCAATTACTTTCAGAAGTCACATAATTAGTTAAATAAAGTCCACCTGTGTGCAATGTAGGTGTCTCATGATCTGTCACATGATCTCAGTATATATACACCTGTTCTGAAAGGCCCCAGAGTCTGCAACACCACTAAGCAAGCGGCACCATGAAGACCAAGGAGCTCTCCAAACAGGTCAGGGACAAAGTTGTGGAGAAGTACAGATCAGGGTTGGGTTATAAAAAAATATCAGAAACTTTGAACATCCCACGGAGCACCATTTAAAATCCATTATAAAAAAAAATGAAAAGAATATGGCACCACAACAAACCTGCCAAGAGAGGGCCGCCCACCAAAACTCACAGACCAGGCAAGGAGGGCATTAATCAGAGGCAACAGAGACCAAAGATAACCCTGAAAGAGCTGCAAAGCTCCACAGCGGAGATTGGAGTATCTGTCCATAGGACCACTTTAAGCCGTACACTCCACAGAGCTGGATTAAAATGTAGCTTTTTGGCCATCAAGGAAAACGCTATGTCTGGCGCAAACCCAACACCTCTCATCACCCCGAGAACACCATCCCCACAGTGAAGCATGGTAGTGGCAGCACCATGCTGTGGGGATGTTTTTCTGCAGGGACTGGGAAACTGGTCAGAATTGAAGGAATGATGGATGGCGCTAAATACAGGAAAATTCTTGAGGGGAAACCTGTTTCAGTCGTCCAGAGATTTGAGACTGGGACGGAGATTCACCTTCCAGCAGGACAATGGCCCTAAGCATAATGCTAAAGCAACACTCGAGTGGTTTAAGGGAAACTGTCTTGGAATGGCCTAGTCATAGCACAGACCTCAATCCAATTGAGAATCTGTGGTATGACTTAAAGATTGCTGTACACCAGCGGAACCCATCCAACTTGAAGGAGCTGGAGCGGTTTTGCCTTGAAGAATGGGCAAAAATCCCAGTGGTTAGATGTGCCAAGCTTATAGAGACATGCCCCAAGAGACTTGCAGCTGTAATTGCTGCAAAAGGTGGCTCTACAAAGTATTGACTTTGGGGGGGGGGTGAATAGTTATGCACGCTTAAGTTTTCTGTTTTTTTTGTCTTATTTGTTTCACAAGAAAAAATATTTTGCATCTTCAAGGTGGTAGGCATGTTGTGTAAATCAAATGATACAAACCCCCCAAAAATCCATTTTAATTCCAGGTTGTAAGGCAACAAAATTGGAAAAATGCGAAGGGGGGGTGAATTCTTTTGCAAGACACTGTATGTATGGTTGAATTTTAAAAAACTAGTCATTTACCCCGTAGCTCATGCCCTTGTCCTGTTCCCCAGACTCCTGCTGTGGCCTCCCCAGCCCCCTCGCTGTTCCACACAGACAAACCTGAGGAGGTGACGGCACCTCCTTCTCCCCAGTGGATAAGAGGCGTGCAGAGAAGGAGAGGGTAGCGAAGGAGGGTCCTGAGGTACAGCACCTGTCCTCTCCACTAGAGGGCAGTGAGAGTAAGAAGAAGCCATTAGGGGCCGTCAGTCTGTTTGGAGGGATCAACGTGCTGGGAGCAGCCAAGGTGAGACGCTACAGAAGGCTCAGGGTAGAAGTTCTCTCTAAGCTCATCTAGGATCAGCTGAACTGAAATTTTGCCATAACCTAGTTTTGGTCATTTGGGTCGTTAATCAAATAATCTTTCCTTGATACCTCACATCCTCTCTCCTCAAAACGCATTGGAGAAGAAAGCCTGAGGGGAGGGACCTTGGACCTTCTCTTCCAATATGGTTGAGGAGGCGGCAAGGAGAGAGGAAAGGTGAATTGAGATGGAGCCCTGCTCCTAAGTGTGAGGTGCTGTACTCACTCACTCTCTATCTTCCTGTCCCTTAACAAGCAGACTAAGAGCCCATTGGACGAGACGGATGGTGATGACTTCATGTCTAAGGAGGGCTCGCCCCCCATGGAGAAGGAGGCCAAAACGAAGAACACTGTCAGTCTGTTTGATGACGAGGAGGGTGCTGACTGGACTGCCCCTGTCTCCATACCTAGCAAACCAACTGCCAAAAACACACTCAAGGTTTGTCTGGGTTCGTTTATTCATACTACTGACAATTCCTGTGTGTGTGTGTGTGTGAGTCTGTCTGTCTGAGTATGTGTGTAAATCCTGTGTCTGTGCGTTAGCCTGCAGAGGAGCGTCCTCGTACCAAGAGCAGCACCTGGGTGTTCCAGGATGAGGAACTGCTGTTCAGTCACACTCAGCAGAGAGACAACGACCCCGACGTTGACATCTTCGCCACGCCTGACAAGTCTGTGGTGAGTTCTAGGGACAGTAGACTCAGTGAGAGGGGAAAGGTGTTAGTGTTGGGCTAGAGCAAAAGCCTGCACTCACCAGGACCAGGGTGGATGTCTTGTATTGCATCAGCACATTGAGGTGTACTAGTTGCTATTCCTTTTAGTGATAAATTAATTGTACTAATGATATTGGTGGTGATAAAGTGCTGTGTTCCTGTCTCAGAGGTCCAGGCCCAGTAATGATAATTGCTCAGTGAAGTCCGGGCCCAGCTCAATGAGGTCGGCAGCCCCAACACTTTTTAGTGATGAAGATGGAGATTCCCTCTTCAGCTCTGTCAAGCCCAAAGCTCTTCGGCCGGTTCCCTATTCTAAATCCCCTCAATCAATGAAAACAATAGGAATACAACTTGATTAATTTACTGATGACTGCACATCCTCAGTCCTTGTCTTTTATTTGACCTCAGAAAGTATCGGAGAAGCCCAGTAAACACAGTAAAGACGAGCCATCCCCAAAACCTTCTGTGACCGCACCAGTCCCAGGGAGTGAGGTAAGGCTGATGAAACAAAGAGTCTTAGGCAGGCAGCCCAATTCTGAATATTTTTTTTTACACTAATTGGTCTTTTGACCAATCGCATCAGATCTTTTCACATCAGATTTTTTTCAGAGCTGATCTGATTGGTCAAAAGACTAATTAGTGAAAAAAATATCAGAATTGGGCTGCCTGTGTAAATGCAGCCTTAGTGCTCTGCAGTCTATGTGATTGCCCATGTGTTTATGATTGAAGGGTTTCAGAATTTGAAGGATATCTATAGACAGTAATGCTCTCTCCTCTCAGTTGAGACTTATTATACTGTGATATATTTCAAAGGAGTGTTATCCAGGCTGTTACATTGCTTTTGGAGATACTCCTGTCTGTGTCTAGATTACTTAAAGGTCCAGTGCAGTCAAAAACTGGATTTTCCTATGTTTTAGATATATTTCCACACTGAGGTTGGAATAATATTGTGAAAATTATGATAATGTCCTTTTAGTGTAAGAGCTGTTTGAAAAGACCACCTGAAACTTCAGCCTGTTTTGGTGGGATGGAGTTTTAGGCTGCCTGGTTCCAAACCTCTCTGCCAATAACAGCTAGTTTTCCCGTCCACACTCAGACCACTCCCAGACAGTCCTAGCAAAATTATTGGTTGAAAAATTGCTCTTAGTTTTGTTTCTTATTTTCAATTAAAACGGTCAAAAATCACAGTAAGTTACTTAATTGTTACCAATAAATTATTTGATATTCAGATAAAAACAGCTGCATTGGACCTTTAACCTGATCTATGTTGTTCAATTGCACAGAAGCCGTCACCAAGCCCTGTAAAATCTAAAGAGCCTTCGTCATGGATTGGAAAACTCCAAGTAAACATATATATATATATATTTTTTTTTTAATCAGTCAACGTTTTACTCTATCTTTACTCTTTCTGAATGAGCATTCATTCTTCCAACGTGTTTTCTCTGCCAAACATATTTGAACCTCTGCCTCTGCCTTTGACATGAAACATGTCGTCTTGTCTTTTCCACTGCTGGCATAAAAGCTAAACTGAGACAGCGTGACTGTCAGATTGATTCACATAATATTTTGTTTTTTACCGTCAGTCTGAAAGCGATTGCTCAGCCTTTCTTCTTCCTGAAACTGCATGAATAGATGTCGTTCCTACGTCTACATTTTTACTTTCTTTATTCTTGGGCTCTCTTTCCTCTGTTTGTCTACAGCTTTGTTCTGATGATCATGAGGGACTGCATTAACCAAATTACTTGTAAATCCAATTATATAATGTGAGGACCATTCGCATGTGTCCTCACTGTGCTACAAACCCTCTCTTATAAAGGACTTTAGTTGGTGAACAAATGTGTTCCTCCTCCCCACTTTCAGACCAACCTGGTGATCAACCCTGCTGCCAACCTGCCCGGCGCGGTCCTACCAGGGATGAGCCCGAGCCCCAGCCCCAGCCTCACCTCCTCAGGCCTCAGCCCCAACCTCACCCCCAGTCTGCCAGGGACCCAGTCCCCTAGCGACGGAGGGGTTAGCTTCGACCACCCAGTCCAGGTGTCCGTGCTACAGAGTGCCAACAAGGTGGGTCAGAGGTCAGGCACTGGGGTGTGGTGGGCATAATGGAACACGGTGGGAGAAACAAAGAACGCCTACTTTTGATCCTCCAATGATAGAAATGTATAAAGCTCTAACCTTGTATCTTGTACCTTCCTGAATAAGCCCCTGTTATGACTCTGTGTGTCTTCTCTTCCTGTAGGGCCGAGCTAAAGGCTCCAGCCACCGCAGGCCCCAGACCAGGGCAGCACGGCAGACGGCAGCTCAGAGCTCTGTGGACCAGAGAGACCAGAACCAGGGAGAGGACCGGGCCGGACCCAGCCCAACCCTACCTAACCCAACCCAGCCTAGCCTGGCACTATCTAACCTAACCCTGCCCAGGCCTAGTCTACCCAACCAAGCCCCAACCACTGCCTTACCCTCCTCCTTACCTGCCTCCCAACCCACGCTCACCGATGTCTCTGTCAGACCGTCAGTGCTAACACTAGCAGTGTCCAACACCCCTCTAAAGAGAGAGACTTCTAAGGGTAGCAAGGTGAAGGTGCTGCCTTCTCCCGACGAGGCTGACCTGTTTGGCTCTGACAGCCTCTTCGGGTCTGTCCCTGCCCTAGCCCCAGCCCCCAATAATACCACCCACTCACCCAAACTCACCACAAAGACTACAGAGGGCGAGTTGACTCCGAAGAAGGAGAAAGAAGCGACCCCTCCGTCCCTCTTTGACGACCCCATGGGTGACCTTTTCCAGAAGGTGAAAACGAGGTCAGCTAAGAAGGCAAAGGCCTCTTCCTTCCTGGAGGATGAAGAGGATATATTTGTGCTGGGAAAGAGCTGCACTCCCACTACTAACATTACTGCTGGGGGGAAAGTCACTAAGGCAGGGGGCAACTCTACTCCCAAACAGGACCTCTTCCAGGTATTGGTCATGATGATCAATATTGTCAGTCAATTGACCAATCAGTCAGTTTTATTTATTTATTTATTTATTTATTTATTTATTTATTTATTGTACAGCCAGGAATGTACAATATCTTACAATCATTGAAATGTTAGTTTATTTTTCATCGTACTAGTTGGGGGGGGAAATATCGATAGTTACATATCGCAATATTATTTTGGACAATATTATATAGATACTTTGACTGAGTATTTTTATTTTGCTAGGTAGCAGTCGGTGGTACCTGTGCCAAAACTCCGGTATTTTTCATCCTATAGCTAGTTCTCCAACTTCTTTTTAAATAGTGAGACAACATGTTTTTATTTTCCTGATCAAAACTAATTTTGTAACATTAGGAACACCTTCCTGTTAGAGTTGCACCCCCCCCCCCCTCCCCCCTTTTGCCCTCAGAACATCCTCAATTTGTCAGGGCATGGACTCTACAAGGTGTCGAAAGCACAGGGATGCTGGCCCATGTTTCCCACAGTTGTGTCAAGTTGGCTGGATGTCCTTTGGATGGTGGACCATTCTTGATACACACGGGAAACTGTTGAGTGTTTTTTTTTTAAACGGCAGCGTTGCAGTTCTTGACACAAACTGGTGCACCTGGCACCTACTACCATACCCCGTTCAAAGGCACTTACTTTTTTGTCTTGCCCATTCACACTCTGAATGGCATACATACACAATCCATGTATCAATTGTCTCAAGGCTGAAAAATCCTTCTTTAACCTGTCTCCTCCCCTTCATCTACACTGATTTGAAGTGGATTTAACAAGTGACATCAATAAGGGATCATAGCTTTCACCTGGATTCACCTGGTCTATGTCATGGAAAGAGCAGGTGTTCTTAATGTTTTATATACTCTGTGAACAATATGTTACGAACATCATTGCAATAAAATCGCAATATCGAATCGCAATACAAATGGAATCTTGAGAATCGCAATATCGGCACCTAAGTAGCATGATAATATCATATCTTGAGGTCCCTGGTAATTCTCAGCCCTACAGTACATTATAGTAGTCTAAATGCATTTGGTCTGGCTCAGCGCATGCTGACTCAGCCTATCTGCTTATCCAAGAGTCACGATCTCTGCAACAGGAGGTGGAGGGAAATCCATATATTCCTTGGAAAGTGTGTGTGTGTCTGCTTCTTGTCTGAATATGTCTGTTTCTGTTGTCCCAGGATGAAGCGGAGACTCCACCCAAAGCCTACAAAGAGAAATCCCTGGATGCCAGCCTGTTTGACGACAACGTTGACATTTTTGCTGATTTGACAGCCACTTCAAAACTGAAAGAGAAGAAGTCCAAGAAGGCGGAGACTAAATCAATATTTCATGATGATATGGGTGGGTGTTTACAGAGCATATATTTCGGAATATCTAGGTTTTGCATTGTTTGTTGTTCCTCAATAACTGTTTCAACATGCACCACAGACAAATATAGGTATGCGTGCACACACACATACACAGTCTTACAATGCCATTGCCACCAGTTTGAACTGAAACATCTACTGGACATGCTTTCTCTCCACAGATGATGTCTTCTCTCCCAGCACTGTGAAGCCAATGGCCAAGCAGCCTCCATCCAAGTCCAAGAAGAGCCCTCCCTCCCAGGACACCAGTGCAGCGGACGACTCGGGCAACATCTTCGACGACCCTCTCAATGCTCTGGGCGGGAACTGAACCGTGGACCGTTCCTGAGGAGCTAAAAGTTTGAGTCCCAAATGACACCCTATTCCCTAGATAGTTCATTACTTTTGACCAGGGCCCATAGGGCTTTGCATCCCAAATGGCACCCTATTCCCTAGATAGTTCATTACTTTTGACCAGGGCCCAAAGGGTGTGCTCTATGTGGGGAATAGGGTGCCATTTGGGATGCAGTCCCTAATTGTACAGAAAACCTTTTGTTGTTTTGGAGGACTGAAAAAGGGGTTGGAGATATTAACACTGTTCTTTATAGAGACGGTTTATATAAAAACAATCCATCGATCGACGTAACCTCGGATGGAAATTAAAACCCAGGTAGTAGGGGATGATTCTGATACTCATCTCTGATTAATAACAAGTAACTATTTGGCTTTATTTAATTTCCATGGTAGCAGCACTCCTTAGTCGTCATTAGGCCAGCTGCTAATAAATAAATAGTACATTATTTATAAATGTAGTTGAAGAGCTCTCTGTGTTTTAGCATTGCCATTTTGAGATTACATGTCGTCATTTGGCTGTGCCATATCACGGTTATGAAGTAATTGTTTTTCAATTAATATGAAATTGTTAAATTTGCCTATGATGAATGATTTTTTTTTTTTTATAATTAAAATAATATCTTCTGAAATTTGAAAAGTGTGTGGTAAGTTTGTTTCTAAGATCTGCAGCACTACTTTAAAGCCATTTAAGATGATGAATAAGGAAGCTGGACTGAAAGAGGAACAGCTGTTCCTAGATTTACACCGTTCCTTCCCTTTTATTACAATTCTACTAATGTGCTCTAAAAACAAGATTCACTGCCATCTCTCGACTGCTAGTCAACTTTTAAATGTTGACTAACTGCAATGGTACATTTAGAGGATTCTGCATCATCGAAATAGGGGCCTACATTTTATAATGCTAAGGAAAATCTATATTTTGATCCATTAAATTCTATCACTGATGGTATTTAAGTTTCAATTTCCACGTTTTAATGTCTCATGCTCAAGTACAGTGATGCCTTTCTTGCAAACTCAAAACCCAACAATGCAATAATCAATAACGATGTAATACTAAAAATAAGGTGGAACAAAAACACACAAGATATAAAAATAAGAACACAAAGTATGTCAGCATACTATATACAGGGTCAGTTCCAGTACCATATTTACAATGTGCAGGGATGCTGGATCGCTAGAGGTAGATACTGTATGTATATGGGTAAGGTGACTTGGCATCAGGATATATGATAAACAGAGTAGCAACATATGATGATTTGTATGTGAGTGGGTGTGTGTGAGTAGAGTTAGTATAAATGTATGTGCATATTATGTGCATGAAAAATGTATGCACTCACTAACTGTAAGTCGCTCTGGATAAGAGCGTCTGCTAAATGACAAAAATGTAAATGTGTGTGTGAGCAAATGATGGAGTGAGTGTTTGTATGTGTAGGGCCCTGTGAGTGTGCATAGAGACAGTGCAAAAATAAGAATAAAATACAGGGGTCAACTCAGTCTGTGTAGCCATTTTGTTAGCTATATAGCAGTCTTATGGCATGGGGATAGAAGCTGTTCAGGAGCCTGTTGGTATCAGACTTGATGCACTGGTACCGCTTGCCGTGCGGAAGCAGAGAGAACAGTCTATGGGTTGGGTGGTTGGAGTCATTCACGATTTTCCGGGCCTTCCTTTCACACCGCCTGATATAAAAGTATTGGATGGCAGGGAGCTCGGTCCCAGTGATGTACTGGGCTGTCCACACCACCCTCTGTAGCATCATGCGATCGAGGTAGATGCTATTGTCATACCAAGCAGTGATGCAGCCAGTCAAGATGCTCTCAATGGTCCAGCTGTATAACTTTTTGAGGATTTGAGGGCCCATGCTAAACCTTTTCAGCCTCAGGGGGAAGAGGTGCTGTTGCGCCTTCTTCACAACTGTGCGCGTGTGTGGACCATTTGAAGTTCTTAGTGATTTGGACACTGAGGAACTTGAAGCTCTCTACCCGCTCCACTGTAGCCCCATCGATGTGGATGGGGGCATGCTCGCCCCCCTGTTTCCTGTAGTCCACGATCAGCTCCTTGGTCTTACTGACGTTGAGGGAGAGGTTGTTGTTCTGGCCCCACACTGCCAGGTCACTGACCTCCTCCCTGTAGGCTGTCTCATCGTCGCCGGTGATCAGGCTTACCACCGTCATGTCGTCTGCAAACTTGATGTTGGTGTCGTGCATGGCCACACAGTAGTGGATGAACAGGGAGTACAGGAGGGGCCTAAGCACACACCCCTGAGGGGCCCTTCTGCGAGGGTCAGCGTGGCAGAGGTGATGTAGCCTACCCTCACCACCTGGGGTCGGCCGGTCAGGAAGTCCAAGATCTAGCTGCAGAGGGAGGTGTTCCCAGGGTCCTAAGCTTGGTGATGAGCTTGGAGGGGACAATGGTGTTGAACTGTAGTCAATGAACAGCATTCTCACATAGATATTCCTCTTATCTAGGTGGGTGAGGGCAGTGTGGAGTGCAATTGAGATTGTTGTCTATTGATCTGTTGGGGCGGTATGCAAATTCGAGTGGGTCTAGCCTCTCAAAGCACTTCATGATTACAGATGTGAGTGTTACTGGGCATTAGTCATTGTGGCATGAAGCCTTAGAGTTTATGATTGCTTAAAGAGAACTTGTACACTTTTTTATCTACTTATTCAAATGTTGAGAGCCAACCGTTAGCATTATTCCATGAAAGGTTAGTATGTTAGGCTATCAGTTTCTTTGTCCCCTCGAAGCCGGTGTTCTTTTTCTAGCAGAAAGGGTCAGTCTCTGTGACCAAACAACATTTGTCCCGTCTCTGTCTACTCCTCATTGGTTCACCTAGACTTTTCTCGAGAGAACACGTTGCGTCATAGGATGCCTTTGTTGTCAATCAAGAGAGTCACAATGAGCTGGTCCAGGAGCCTCCTGTTTTTTTGACAGGTGAGATGAGTAGAGTTCACGAAAACCTATCACAGTTCATGGGCAATAAGGATAGCTTTCGGCTGTCCTTTTTATTTTTTAAACATGAAGACAAGCAGACCCTTTGAATGATCTAATCTAGAATGTCGAATCTGAAGAGGAGAGTAGGCGTAGCTGCTTGCTAGCCAGCCATCGACCCAAGCAAGGTAGCCATTGTTTGGTTTGCTAAAGTGGTTAGCTAGCTAGCTAGTCGCAATCTATTTAATCGAGTTAGGTTAAAGAACTTGCTAGCTAGCTAAATAATTAATGCATTTAGTTTGCTAATACTGTCTTTCATTTGTGTTATTGTTTTATGTCCAGCTAGCTAAAAGACGGAGTGTTTGTAGTCTTGGGACGCCAGCCAGTTGTTCATCGCCGGTGTACTCTTGCCAGCTAGTCTTGGGATGCTGTTACGGTGAGTTCAAAACGCTAGGGTTTCTGTTGAGACGGAGAGAGAAAAGCTATCTGTCTGGTCATGTATTAACTAACTAAGTAACGTTCGCTAACTAGCTAGCGTTGAAGTTAACATCCTTTGTCAAGTATTTGGCAAGTGGTGCCACCATCCTGTGTAGCAAGTAAGCCGCTGATAAAGGAAAGATCAAGACCCTTTGTTTTCACGATTGACACACATTTGCAGCAACTAACTGTTCAAATGGTATAATGTAGCCCTAAACATTGGGAATACAGTAAACTTGGTCTTTACAGTGTTGGTGTGAAAGGGATCTTCTCAGCTGAAACGACAACAAATACACAAATCCCATCTCTCTAGTAGTACACTTCACCGATTCCCAACCTCACCCCATCTCTAGTCGTTTGAGTATCAATCAGCCCACAACTTTACATTTTAAAATGAAATATTACTGCAGTCACATAAAATACGGGTTAACTGTCAAGGGGCCTACTATCCCCAATGCCTGCATGGAGCGGTCTGTGTTTGACACCATACACTCCTCCCAATGGCTTAATGTTCAATTCTCGGGCGACTCTATTCTCTGTGTATGTCAATGATGTTGCTCTTGCTGCTGGTGAAGCTCGGATCCACCTCTATGCGGACGACACCATTTTGTATACATCTGGCCCTTCATTGGACAATGTGTTAACAAACCTCCAAACAAGCTTCAACGCCATACAACACTCCTTCCGTAGCCTCCAACTGCTCTTAAACACTAGTAAAACTAAATGCATTCTCTTCAACCGAACGCTGCTTGCACCCGCCCACCTGACTAGAATCACTACTCTCGGCGGGTCTGACCTAGAGTATGTGGACAACTACAAATACCTAGGTGTCTGGTTAGACTGTAAACTCTCCTTCCAGACTCACATTAAGCATCTCCAATCAAAAGTTAGATCTAGAATCGGCTTCCTATTTCGCAACAAAGCCTCCTTCACTCATGCTGCCAAACATGCCCTCGTAAAACTGACTATCCTACCGATCCTTGACTTCGGCGATGTCATTTACAAAATAGCCTCCAACACTCTACTCAGCAAATTGGATGTAGTCTATCACAGTGCCATCCGTTTTGTCACCAAAGCCCCATATACTACCCACCATTGTGACCTGTACGCTCTTGTTGGCTGGTCCTCACTACATATTCGTCGCCAAACCCACTGGCTCCAGGTCATCTATAAATCACTGCTAGGCAAATCCCTGTCTTAACTTAGCTCATTGGTCACCATAGCAACACCTACCCGTAGTCTGCGCTCCAGCAGGTGTATCTCACTGGTCATCCCCAAAGCCAACACCTCCTTTGGCCGCCATTCCTTCCAGTTCTCTGCTGCCAATGACTGGAACAAACTGCAAAAATCTCTGAAGCTGGAGACTCTTATCTCCCTCACTCACTTTAAGCATCAGTTGTCAGAGCTGCTTACAGATCACTGCACCTGTACACAGCCCTTCTGAAATTAGCCCACCCAACTACCTCATCCCCATATTGTTATTTATTTAGCTTACGTGGTTAAATAAAGGTTAAATAAATAAAAATAAATGTAGGCTAACAGCTGATCAGCTAGCTAGACTATAGTGCAGCCAAGAGCTGTGGCCTGCGCCTTGCTCTCTGCTGAATGTTTCATGCAGGTGCTTATAAAGACTTACACTTCTCTTTTCAATTGTACTGTACTTTCTTGATCTAAAACTATTGCTCTCTCATATAGGCCTATTTAAGGTGACAGAGTTGGTGACATTTCAATGTGTGTCTTTGTCTGAGAATATTTTAGCACGCATTTCTTCCTGAATGACATAATGGAATGCTCTGCATTCTGCTCACTGGTGGGGGTATTTTTGGTATTTTGGTATTTTATTAGGATCCTCTTTAGCTGTTGCAAAAAGCAGCAGCTACTCATCCTGGGGTCCACACAAAACATGAAACATTAACATTAATAGACAAGAACAGCTCAAGGACAGAACTACATACATACAGGCCTCCTTGCACAATGTAGGACCTATATTTTTCATGTTGATTGTTTGTTGTCAGGGAAGTACAGGTCTCCTTACCTACCAGGTGCATACAGACATGTCAACCACCCCTCCTTTCCAACTCCCCTCAGAATCACTGTTTTTTTTTGTCAACTGTTATGCCTCATGGTGTCGGTGTATGAGGAACAAAAAGGGATGACCTTAGACTTAGAAGAAAGGGCAAGATACTGAGACCTCTCTCTCCACAGCTTGGGGCTTCCTGCATGATGTGTTACCGTGGTGACAACGGAGAACACCCACACCCATCCCCCTCTCCCTTCTCCTGGGCCCACGCCCCCCTCCCCCTAAAGCAGTCCTGACCTCACCAAGATGGACAGGAAGGAGCCGCCTATCTATAACGACGACAGTGTGGGGACCTTTCAGTACAAGTTGCCGTTCTACGAGACCATGGAGCTGTTCATCGAAACTTTGACGGGGACCTGTTTCGAGCTGCGCGTCTCGCCCATCGAGACAGTCATCTCTGTCAAGGCCAAGATCCAGAGGCTGGAAGGTACGGTACATAACAGTACAGTAGTCACTTTTACTGACCCAGCATGTAGGCTATACGGCTATACTGTTTCCCCTTCCGTTACTTAAGCAGGATCGGCTCCCTCCCAGTCTAACACTGTCTGGCGAAATGCGACCTGAAAAATGGCCTATTGAAAAATGATCTATGAATATTCAAAAGCTCAGACTCAATACAATACTAATCCTGGCTGCCTGGAATAAGAAACTATAAAGACGCATGTTGATAATCACCTTCTTCTTGCACAGAAGATGAGCCAAGCAATACGAAATACATTTCTAAGCCAAGAAGAGGGATGGATACAAATGTATTCGAATGCAAAGAATGGCTTTCTGTTTTAGTAGAAACATTTATATCCTCACAGCTTCAGACTCACTATATCACCCCGCTGCTCTGCCAAGCAGACAAAGGCTCTGGTTAGTTGGCTTCCCACACACACATTAAACCCTGCCTTATTTAATACAACCACTTTACTTTTATCATTTATTTGGCCTCATCCTCCATCCGTCTTCCTTGAGAGCTCGATAGAGCACTGCACGTTTGGGATATAAAAAGCCCCAAACGGCCTCATCAATCCAGCCACGGCTGAGCTGAGCTGGGCCTGGTGAGGTGGGAGGCTCTGGGAGACAGTGTGTTTAGTAGTGATGAAGTACAGCTGGGTGGATGGAGGCGTTCGGGAGAGGAACATCGGTTGCGTCCCAAATGGCATCCTATTCCCTATATAGTACACTACTTTTGACCAGGGCCCATAGGGGAATAGGATATATAGGGAATAGGGTGCCATTTGGTACGCAGATTGTGTGTAGATTGATGCCGGTTGTAAAAAATAGGCGTTTATGATGCAGCTATGCATGTTCTTCATCAGGTGGTACGACAGCCTATCGGAAACTGTACGACAGTACGACAGCCTATCGGAAGAGGCAGAGGGGAGTCGATCTGTTCTGAACGGTTGTCACTTGGTTGTCAGTGGTGTGGTAAATGGTACCAGTAACTGAATCTGTGGAAATTGATTCACCTCACAAATCATGTTCTTATTAAATTATATTGCAATGGCTATTTATATACAATGCTCTTTAATAATCTTTGTTGTTTCTGGCCCCATATGTTAAATCTTTCATTTAGTTCTTATCTAAAATAGCCATTATTTGATTAATGTTCTAAGATAATTGACAGGATCATGCAATATCTTACAATATTGATCACCACAAATTGGCTTTGTACAGTTCAAGATGACTCACAGCCTGGTAAAAGCGTAAATCCCTTTTAGCTCTTGCTTACCACTTGCTTCAGCGGTAGGCCTACCTCCCAAGCCTTGCTTAAATGTTCATCCTTTAGTTACAGCCGTTTAGCTCCTTTCAACTGCGGTGTGATTTACAGGAAGCTCAGGTTTGAGATAGCGAACAGACTCTAGTGTTGACAACAGAGAGGTGAACGTCTCTAGCTGAGATGGACAAACAATTCCGTCAGGAGCCAGACTCTGAGAGAACTACTCTGGATGCATCTCAGTAGTCTACTGTAGCCTCCTGCTTGTCTCCTCTCCCTCATCCTACTCTTTTTGTTTTCTTTAGGGGGTAGATCATCTTTAATATTGCAGATAGATTGTAGCTTCCATCAATGTAATTTTCTGCATCACTTCCAATCCCCCATATATTTTTTTGCAAGTGTGTGTGTGTGTTATTGCCATCTAGCTGTTCTGTTAGACCTTCTATTTCCTTTGTTAGTATGGACTCTTTTGACCTAAATTGCTTTTGTTTTTGAAATGAGTACTGAATTGCATGGCCTCTAAAGGCACATTTTAAAGGTGTCCCATACAGTAAGGGGATTAGTTGTACCTATGTTATGTCGGAAAAAGTCAGTTATAAATTCCTCTGTCCTATTTAAAAACAAGTTATTATCCAATAGGCTTTGATTACATTTCCAATATCCTCGCCCACGTGGAAATTCCGTAAGAATAATGTATATGCCTATTATCTGATGGTCCGATCACATTCTGTCCCCTATCAACACTTTTTAATCTTCTGGTGACAACGAGAATGACATAAGAAAGAAGTCAAGACGACTAGCTTGATTGAGCCTCCGCCATGTACACTACCACTCAAAAGTTTGGACACACCTATCCATTCAAGGGTTTTTCTTTATTTTTACTATTTTCTACATTGTAGAATAATAGTGAAGATATCAAATCAAGTTTTATTTGTCACATACACGTGTTTAGCAGATGTTATAGCGGGTGTAGCGAAATGCTTGTGCTTCTAGCTCCAGTAATATCTAACAATTTCACAACAAATACCCAATACACACAAAACTAGTAAGGAATGGGATTTAAGAATATATACATATATGGATAAGCAATGACAGAGCGGCATGGACTAAGATACAGTAGAATGTTATAGAATAGAATGCAGTATATACATATGAGATGAGTAGTGCAAGATATGTAAACATTATTAAAGTGACTAGTGTTCCATTTCTTAAAGTGGCCAGTGATTTCAATAGGCAGCAGCAGCGTCTAATGTGCTAGTGATGGCTATTTAACAGTCTGATGGCCTTGAGATAGAAGCTGTTTTTCATTCTCTCGGTCCCAGCTTTGATGCACCTGTAATGACCTCGCCTTCTGGATGATAGCGGGGTGAACAGGCAGTGGCTCGGGTGGTTGATGTCCTTGATGAACTTTTTGGCTTTCCTGAGACATCGGATGTTGTATGTGTCTTGGAGGGCGGGTAGTTTGCCCCCGGTAATGCGTTCGGCAGACCGCACCACCCTCTGGAGAGCCCTGCGGTTGTGGGCGGTGCAGTTGCCGTACCAGGCGGTGATACAGCCCTACAGGATGCTCTCAATTGTGCATCTGTAAAAGTTTGTTTTATGTGCTAAGCCAAATTTCTTCAGCCTCCTGAGGTTGAAGAGGCTCTGTTGCGCCTTCTTCACCACACTGTCTGCGTGGGTGGACCATTTCAGTTTGTCTGTGATGTGTACGCCAAGGAACTTGAAGCTTTCCACCTTCTCCACTGCGGTCGTGTCGATGTGGATATGGGGGTGCACCCTCTGCTGTTTCCTGAAGTCCACGATCATCTCCTTTGTTTTGTTGACGTTGAGTGAGAGGTTATTTTCCTGGCACCACACTCCCAGAGCCCTCACCTCTTCCCTGTAGGCGGTCTCGTCATTGTTGGTAATCAAGCCTACTACTGTTATGTCGTCTGCAAACTTGATGATTGAGTTGGAGGCGTGCTTGGCCACGCAGTCATGGGTGAACAGGGAGCACATGAGGGGGCTGAGCACGCAACCCTTGTGGGGCCCCAGTGTTGAGGATCAGCGAAGTGGAGATGTTGTTTCCTACCTTCACCACCTGGGGGCGGCCCGTCAGGAAGTCCAGGACCCAGTTGCACAAGGCGGGGTTCAGACCCAGGGCCTCGAGCTTAATGATGAGCTTGGAGGGTACTATGGTGTTGAATGCTGAGCTATAGTCAATGAACAGCATTCTTACATAGGTATTCCTCTTGTCCAGATGGGATAGGGCAGTGTGATGGCGATTGCATCGTCTGTGGATCTGTTGGGGCGGTAAGCAAATTGAAGTGGGTCTAGGGTGGCAGGTAAGGTAGAGGTGATATGATCCTTGACTAGTCTCTCAAAGCACTTCATGATGACAGAGGTGAGTGCTGCAGGGCGATAGTCATTTAGTTCAGTTACCTTTGCTTTCTTGGGAACAGGAACAATGGTGGCCATCTTGAAGCATGTGGGAACAGCAGACTGGGAAAGGGAGAGATTGAATATGTCCATAAACACACCAGCCAGCTGGTCTGCGCATGCTCTGAGGACGCGGCTAGGGATGCCGTCTGGGCCGGCAGCCTTGCGGGGGTTAACATGCTTAAATGTCTTAATCACGTCGGCCATGGAGGAGAAGAGGCCACAGTCCTTGGTAGTGGGCCTCGTCAGTGGCACTGTGTTATCCTCAAAGCAGGCGAAGAAGGTGTTTAGCTTGTCTGGAAGCGAAACGTCGGTGTCGGCGACGTGGCTGGTTTTCTTTTTGTAGTCCGTGATTGTCTGTAGACCCTGCCACATACGTCTCCTGTCTGAGCTGTTTGAAGACATCAAAACTATGAAATACCACATGGAATCATGTAGTAACCAAAAAAGTGTTAAACAAATCAGTATATTGTATATTTGAGAATCTTCAAATAGCCACTTTTGACTGGTACTGTTCTCTCTCTCTCTCGCTCTCTCTCTGCGTGCTGTGCTCTCTTGCAGTCAGTCAGTGGGAGGTGTGTTAGTCAGGGCTGCGTGACTGGGCATGCCTCTTCACAATAGAGTAGCATGGCACTGCTCTGGCCCACTCACAAACACTGGGCACCCTCCAGCACTCACTGGGCCAACAAGTGCATTCAACGTGGGGAGAGGAGCTGGAAAGAGGGAGTGAGGTTGCATCCCAAATGACATCCTATTTCGTGCACTACTTGTGACCACAGCCCCTATACTGTATAGGGAGTTCGGTGCCAGTTGGGATGCTGTCCTCAAGTACCCTAGCATGGTTGTAGAGCAGGGATGGGCAACTGGCGCATGCGGACCCCTTTTTGAAGGCCCTCGGATAACTTTTTTTTTGGGTGGGGGGGGGGGGATATTTAGGGGGGAACTCAGTTGGGTTCTTAACTTATTGTTGCGAGGTAGAATAGTAGAATACACAAGGTGCAATTTGGTTGTGCACCAACAGTTTTTGTCTTACAGTATGTCAGTCACTGTTAGTCACTCAATTAGCCCATGTCAGCAAACACTATTCTAACGGCCAGCTATCTAAACTTGTAGTAATCAAGGTGGAATTAGAGCCCGGGGCCCCCCATTGATTTTGTTAGTCAGTCTCAGGTATCATATTAAAAACTGCAAACATTTCTCTCCACCATATGGTAAAATGTGTAGAATTGCACAAAATTAAAACTAAAACCAAAAAAATGTGTTTGAAATTAGTTATACAATTCTGAATCTTCTCTCTGCCCGATGGCAAAATGTGTAGAATTGTAGCAAACTAGCTTTAAAACAGCAACATGTTCTTTACACCCCATGGTAAAATGTGTAGAATTGCACGAAATTCCCTTTATTAATTTCTCTCCGGGTGTGGGGGAGCAACTGCGGCACCTCATGAGTTTGGATTTTTAGTGGCCCCCACCCCATCAAAGTTGCCCATCCCTGCTGTAGAGAGAGGGAAGAGAAGGCTCAACTCAAGTACCTTAGCATGGTTGTAGAGAGAGGGAAGAGAGTTGCCTGTTAATGCACTGCAGGCGTCATGCTCGCTAGTTATGCCCATTTTGATCTATCGAGAGTGTTTTCACTCTCAAGTCAAGTGCTCTTCTCTAATGGTCTTCAGAGTGGAGTTTGCATTGTGGCCTGAGTCTGTCTGTTGTAGCATTCTATGTCCTGTAGTGGGCATGAATGAGTCGTCTTACTGGTCTGTGGTGATGGTGTTGCTGCTGCTGGAACGGGTTTCTCCTAGCCTAGCTTTCTGCTAGAGCGGAACATGTTGACTGTCTCAAACTGACCTCAACAAATAACCAGAAAATGTTTTCCCTCCAAAGAATACATCTGGACCCATATTCATTAAGCGGCAGAGTATGGGGTATCAGTCGATTTAAATCAATTCATTAGGCCTTTATCTATGGATTTCACATGACTGGGAATACAGATATGCATCTGTTGGTCACAGATACCTTAAATAAAGAAAGTAGGTATCAGTATCTGGTGTGACCACCATTTGCCTCATGCAACGCAACACATCTCCTTCGCATAGAGTTGATCAGGCTGTTGATTGTGGCCTGTGGAATGATGTCACACTCCTTTTCAATGGCTGTGTGAAGTTGCTGGATATTGGCAGGAACTGGAACACGCTGTCGTACACATCGATCCAGAGCATTCCAGACATGCTCAATGGGTGACATGTCTGGTGAGTATGCAGGCCATAGAAGAACTGGAACATTTTAAGCTTCCAACGATTGTGTACAGATCCTTGCAACATGGGGCCGTGCATTATCATGTTGAAACATGAGGTGATGGCGGCGGATGAATGGCACGACAATGGGCCTCAGGATCTCGTCACGGTATCTCTGTGTATTGAAATTGCACTTGATAAAAATGCAATTGTGTTCGTTGTCCGTAGCTTATGCCTGTGTATATCAATGACGTCGCTCTTGCTGCTGGTGACTCTCAGATCCACCTCTACGCAGACGACACCATTTTGTATACATCTGGCCCTTCATTGGACACCGTGTTAACAAACCTCAAAACGAGCTTCAATGCCATACAACACTCCTTCAGTAGCCTCCAACTGCTCTTAAACACTAGTAAAACTAAATGCATGCTCTTCAACCGAACGCTGCTTGCACCCGCCCACCCGACTAGAATCACTACTCTCGACGGGTCTGACCTAGAGTATGTGGACAACTACAAATATCTAGGTGTCTGGTTAGACTGTAAACTCTCCTTCCAGACTCACATTAAGAATCTCCAATCCAAAGTTACATCTAGAATCGGTTTCCTATTTCGCAACAAAGCCTCCTTCACTCATGCTGCCAAACATGCCCTCGTAAAACTGACTATCCTACCGATCCTTGACTTCGGCGATGTCATTTACAAAATAGCCTCCAACACTCTACTCAGCAAATTGGATGTAGTCTATCACAGTGCCATCCGTTTTGTCTCCAAAGCCCCATATACTACCCACCACTGTGACCTGTACGCTCTTGTTGGCTGGTCCTCACTACATATTCGTCGCCAAACCCACTGGCTCCAGGCCATCTATAAATCACTGCTAGGCAAATCCCTGCCTTATCTTAGCTCATTGGTCACCATAGCAACACCCACCCGTAGTCTGCGCTCCAGCAGGTATATCTCACTGGTCATCCCCAAAGCCAACACCTCCTTTGGCCGCCATTCCTTCCAGTTCTCTGCTGCCAATGACTGGAACAAATTGCAAAAATCTCTGAAGCTGGAGACACTTATCTCCCTCACTAACTTTAAGCATCAGTTGTCAGAGCACCTTACCGATCACTGCACCTGTACACAGCCCATCTGAAATTAGCCCGCCCAACTACCTCATCCCTATATTGTTATTTATTTTGCTAATTTGCACCCCAGTATCTCTATTTGCACATCATCTCTTGCACATCTATCATTCCAGTGTTAATACTAATTGTAATTATTTTGCACTATAGCCTATTTATTGCCTTACCTCCATAACTTGCTACATTTGCACACACTGTATATATTTATTTCTGTTGTATTTTTGACTTTGTTTTGTTTTACCCCATATGTAACTCTGTGTTGTTGTTTTTATCGCACTGCTTTGCTTTATCTTGGCCAGGTCGCAGTTGTAAATGAGAACTTGTTCTCAACTGGTTTACCTGGTTAAATAAAGGTGAAATAAAAATAAAATAAAAAACCCCACCACCACCACCATTGGGCACTCTGTTTATAACGTTGACATCAGCAAACCGCTCGCCCACACGACGCCATACACGTTGTGAGGCCGGTTGGACATACTGCCAAATTCTCTAAAACGACGTTAGAGGCGGCTTATGGTAGAAAAATGAATGTTCAATTCTCTGGCAACAGCTCTGGTGGACATTCCTGCAGTCAGCATGCCAATTGTACGCTCCCTCAACTTGAGACATCTGTGGCATTGTGTTGTGTGACAAAACTGCACATTTTAGAGTGGCCTTTTATTGTCCCCAGCACAAGGTGCACCTGTGTAAGGATCATGCTGTTTAATCAGCTTCTTGATATGCCACACCTTTCGGGTGAATGGATTGTCTTGGCAAAGGAGAAATGCTCACTAACAGGGATGTCAACATATTTGTGCACAGCATTCGAGAGAAATAAGCATTTTGTGCTTATGGAACATTTCTGGGATCTTTTATTTCAGCTCATGAAACATGGGACCAACACTTTACATGTTGCATTTATATTTTTGTTCAGTGTATTTGTCATGACTTGGCAAAGAGCTGACTAAATGGATTGTAATGACTCCGCCTCCCACTGGATGGAGCCAGAGAGACGTTTATTCAACAGAGAAGCCTCTGAGTGTCCTAGAACTGTCTTTTTTTTGTGTTCTGACTTATAAAACGGTGGGAAATTAATAAAATAAGTCATGTGAACATATTATCAGTAATTACCAGTAAATCTAGTGCCTGAAATCTTAAGAGGATACTGAATAAGATTATATGGACGGGGGACCTGATCCTACATCACCACTCCTACTCTGAGACACTTTGTGAATATGACCTCATCACTTTCTGACCATACTAGAAATGACAGAAGTATGTTTCTTGTTGCCTGGCTACCCAGACTCCTTGCTACGATCAAAAACTACGCCACACCCACGGACGTTAGTTTCTTCTCCGCAATGAGTCTGAATCGGAGTACCTCCCCGACCCTTCACAAAATGCCAACACATTCGGGGCCATCTGATTGGTCCAGAAACTGATGGGTTGGGCCAGAGCCAGAACACGTGTGGGTAAAGCGGCGGTTTTAAAATGTGTCATTGGCTTTGATACTCTTGATTGGTTAGAGACGATCCAATCGCTGATGACCTTTGTTTTGTACAACGCCCCTCGTCAACACAAACAACTTCAATGATGGCAGTCTCAGACTAAAGTATGTAGCGATCGAGAGAGCAGAGGAAGAATTGAGTGTGAGTTGTCAGGCTATGGTTCTTCTTCCTCTTCTTTACTTTCTAAAAGCCTCAGTTACAGTTGATTTCTCAGTGTCTTGTCGTACTTCTGTTCGTGGATGTTCTGTACTGTAATTCTTCCTGTGTAGTTAGCCTAAAAGGTTGGTGGAAATGGGAGGGGTGTTCTGTACTGTAATTCTTCCTGTGTAGTTAGCCTAAAAGGTTGGTGGAAATGGGAGGGGTGTTCTGTACTGTAATTCTTCCTGTGTAGTTAGCCTAAAAGGTTGGTGGAAATGGGAGGGGTGTTCTGTACTGTAATTCTTCCTGTGTAGTTAGCCTAAAAGGTTGGTGGAAATGGGAGGGGTGTTCTGTACTGTAATTCTTCCTGTGTAGTTAGCCTAAAAGGTTGGTGGAAATGGGAGGGGTGTTCTGTACTGTAATTCTTCCTGTGTAGTTAGCCTAAAAGGTTGGTGGAAATGGGAGGGGTGTTCTGTACAGTAATTCCTTACTTGGTTATGAGGTTGGGGTGAGAGAGGGAAAGAGGGAGAGATCTTGTGTAAACTCACATCTGTCTGTTCTGTTGTCTTCCTCTCTCTCTCTTGTGCCCCCCTCCCCCCTCCTAGGTATCCCTGTTGCCCAGCAACACCTGATCTGGAACAACTTGGAGCTGGAGGATGAGTACTGTCTGCATGATTACAGGTGAGTTTACCTAGGTCATGTTCATTTGGCACCAAACTGAATGAAACAGGCTGGAGCTACCTGGACTTATTAAGAGTAGGTCATTTAGCTTTCTGTTGTAAAGCATTTTAAAATGTTTCCCGTTGCGTGGCCTAATTAACACAACCCTATTCACAACCCTTTTTATTTTAATTTATTTTTTACTCTGGTTAGTTAACTGGGAACCTATTTTCATATACAGCAATGCCCTGTAAATGAACCATCAACTTTGATCTCGTAATTAGTGGTTAATTGAAATGAGTGAAGTGGAAGACTTGACTATATGCTTTGAAATGAATTCCCCTTGTAGTGAATCAATGTTCTCCCCAAGTCCTGATATCAATGAACCAAAGATGGCGAATTGGCTACAGTCACATATTGAATGTGTTTGGAGCGCTAGCTGATCCCCGTTGAGTTGTCAGTTTTATTAGATACAGACCCACTCTACAGATTGCAGATGGTGGTTGCGTCATGAATGCTTGTCGCTTAATTTTCCACATGATCGGTCCCCGGTGTGATTTAGTTAGGTCTGAACAAAACATCCTTTTGAAGTCTCAGAAATGGAGGGTGAGAGGGGGTGGATTTGCATAAAACTGACGTTCCGTTACAATTCCAATGGAATTCCCAGACGTGTGCATAAGTTCATCTGGAGCGCAGACTGACTGAGGAACAATGTTTGTTCCGGAATAATTATCGTTTTCCCAGTCGACGTTTCCAGGGTCGTGTTTATTGGGCACCAACCGTAAGAAAACCAACTGAAACAGGGAGGGACTACTTTTTTTTTTTTTAAGATGATGCTAGGTTTTCCGCTGCGTGCCCTAATGAACACCACATGTGCTTGAACGATCCAGCTAGCTGTAGGGCAAAGCAATACGTTGATAGCTTAACCGATCCTTCCAAGGGACTTGGGACAGCTTCAACCAACCATAATTGCTGACATTTATCTTGTTGTCTGTCTATGTGTCTGCAGTATTGCTGAGGGCTGTACTCTGAAGCTGGTGCTAGCCATGAGAGGAGGACCCATCAACACCAGGAGAGGTAGCTAGGGGGAGATGGGTTGGGATTTCTCTGCCTTCACTGCTGGACACCCATAAGTATTCACACATAGTCAATTCACCTATTCTAGTCATGTAGCCTCTAACAACATGTTGATTTGATGAACACTGCCCTAACAGTCTCGACTCTCACCCTAAAGTCCATGAAGTGATTGGTTGATTCTCTCTCTTGGGCAGTGTCCATGAAAGACTTGGTGTCTGACTGACTGACTGACTTGTTTCTCTCTCCCTCAGTGCCTGTTGAGGACCCAGTGAAGGAGATCGCTGAGAGAATGGAGGAGGGCTGGGAGAAGAGTCTGCCTAGCAACAAGCAGGTCACCTTCCTGGTGTACCGAGAGGGAGACCAGCTCAACTTCTTCCGGGTCGTCGACCGGGGGGACGGAACTCTGACCCCTGTCTCAGAATCACTCAGGTGAGCACCGTCCACTTTCAGATAAGTGCAATACCAATTTCCCAGTCCAAATTCAACTACATTATTTTCCACTCTGAGGCAATATACAGGTCTTAGATCCATGTGCTTTATTAGGAAGGGTAGGTGGCAGGTCCAAAGGTTAAGCGTAGGGAATTAAATTGTTTAGGATTAGGGCCAGTATTCTTTTATGTCAACAATATGTCATTAAAATGACAGTTCTACACAGAGACAGTCCAAAAATAGACTTGGTTTATATTCTTCCTCAATAGATCTCTGGTCAAGGTCAATGTCAGGATGGGTGAATGTGTGGCATCATTCTGGACTAAAGCATCACTCTTCCCCCGTAAAAGTCCATATGTGATCTTTTCATTTTCTGTCCAAGTAGTTAATGTGTGTGTGTGTTCCAGTGGTGGCTCGGTGTACAACATGTACGAGGAGGAGGAGGAGGAGGAGGAGACGGTGGGCTTGGCTTTGGGACAGCCGTCCCTGGAGAACTCCATCACCATGAACAAGATGAAACTGCTCAAAGCCAAGATGGAGGACATGAACATCAACAAGAAGGTAGAAAGATTTTACTTCCTAGTTCTTTCCTTAGAATATCATTATTCTCTATCCATTAACACGGTTAGGAAAGACGAGAATATAATCTTTATTATCCAAAGCATTTTACTGGCAAAGTGCAAACTAAACCTTCAAAATGCAAGTCCAGGTGACGACTCAATGATTTACCAATCAACTTGCATCTCAAATAAATACTAATTTTCTAATCAAAATTAGTCATTCTCTGCCTCCCCTTGCTCGAACTGATCCCCTCAAACACGCTGTATGACTGTCTCTGTCTGTCTCCCCCCAGCCTAAGAAGTCTGCTGAGTTGAAACCTCTGTCACCCGTCGGTCCCCGGCCCTGCCGCAACTTTCTGGGGCCACCCCGACACCCCCGCCTCTTCAATATCCTGCCCCAGATCAACCAATCCCACCACTCCGCCTCACACTTACCTCCAATCAGGGACCAGGGATCCGCAACTCCCTCCCCTCCCGTTGCTGCTACCTCCGCCACCCACCCGTCAATCAGCGGCCAGGCGCCGCCCTATTTCTCCTCCTCGTCCTGTTACATGCTCCAGGAGGAGGAGCCATGGGAGACCAGCCCCAAGTCGATCCGGCCCCCTCCCAAAGTTTCCCGGTTGGACATCGGCAGCACCAGGCTCATGAGGGACTGTGTGTACCCGCAGCTCCCCGCACTCCCCAGCAGGGGGCAAGCTGAGGGGGCAGTGGAGCTGCCCGACACCAGAGGAGAGGCACTGGGGCTGGAGTTGCTGGAGGAGGTTGCAGGCCTGCTGGAGCCCACACCGCCTGGAGCTCTGTACGGAGACCTGCTCACTGACCCCCTCATCCTGGACATCTCTACCCAGCCAGAGGAGGGTTTGGGTGGGTTGAATGGGCTAGGAGCCCTGGAGGTTGGCGCAGAGCACCAGCACCAGCTCCCCTCCACCCCCTCTCTGCTCTCACAAGCTGAGGGGATGAACTCTTTAAACAACTGGGCGATGAGTGGTTCTGATAGGTTAGCCAGCAAAGGTGAGAGGACACAGTTACTAGGTAACACCCTTCATCATATACCCGACTCTCCTTCCCCCTCCCCCTCCTCATCCTCCCCCTCTAGTAGACGGAGACTACCACAACCCTTTGAGTTCACAGGCTCAGCAACGTCAACCATACGACCCAATCCCCCCTCCTCCTCCCGCCCCACCACTCTCCTCTCCCCTGCTCCAACTCTCCCCTCCGTCTCTCTTCCACGTGGCTCTCTTCTGCGAGGCATCAAGGTGGACTCCTCAGGCAAGCGGCCGGAGATGATGAGTAAAAGTGAGGCACGGGGCGTCACCAAGCTGACCAACCAGGCCTGTAAGAACCCTCTCGGGTCCCTCGGCAACACAGAGCTCCTGGCCTCCTTGTCCTCTTCCTCCAGGACCCCAGGTGGCAGCAGCAGCAGGGAAGGCCTGGGACAGAGCCTGGGACTCGGTTTGGGGCTGCCCGCTGTTGGGGCCGGGCTGGGCAGGCTAGGCTCCATGGCCCCCTCCCTCCAAGCCAACATCCAGCTGCTCCAGGAGGACCTGATCCGACGAATGTCCCCACTACAGAGAGCGACTGCCTCTTACATGGTGAGTCGTGAGGACAGACTATTGAGATACAACCCAGCTAGGCAGGAAAATGGGTACTATCCACAAATAAGGACTCGATGTACTGCCTAAATAGAAATGAACAAATCAAAGAAGCACAATGATAGTGTGTTGTATTGTGAGGTACAGTACTCTTGAAACACTACATCGTTTGTGCGTAGCCTGAAATCTATAACCTGTTTTGCTAACATTCCACTCCTACTGTGTCATTGCCAAACATTGTTTAGCATGACAAGGAGCGGAATGATGGCTAAACAGACTTATACCCAGGCTAGTTTGTGCGGCGTCGATGTCCTTGTCTGAAACCTCCTCTCGTTGTTCCAGGCACCCAACAGCATAGGATCAGCTGGAGGCTCCAGTTCAATAAGGAGACTAGGTGAGTGGGGAAACCCTAAAAACCCAGGGATCCGGGTCTGCTCAAAAGTAGTCCAAGTAGTGCACTAGAGAATAGCATGCCATTTCAAATGCAGGCCCCAATCAAAAGTAGTCCGCTATATACTAGGGTCGGTCTCTCCAACCCTGTTCCTGGAGAGCTACCGTCCTGTAGGTTTTCACTCCAACCCTGTTCCTAGAGAGATACCGTCCTGTAGGTTTTCACTCCAACCCTGTTCCTGGAGAGCTACCGTCCTGTAGGTTTTCACTCCAACCCTGTTCCTAGAGAGCTACCGTCCTGTAGGTTTTCACTCCAACCCTGTTCCTAGAGAGCTACCGTCCTGTAGGTTTTCACTCCAACCCTGTTCCTAGAGAGCTACCGTCCTGTAGGTTTTAGCTCCAACTCTAATCTACCGCACCTGATTCTAATTATTAGCTGGTTGATAAGCTGAACCAGGTTAGTTACAACTGGTGTTGGAGTGAAACAGGGGGGTAGCTCTCTGGAAACAGGGATGGAGAGCCCTGTACTAGGGAATAGGGTGCCCTTTCAAACGCAGACCCAGTCTTAATAGAAATATCTATTTGTCCTGTAATAAGACAGAATGAGACTTTCTCAGATCATAATCTCATTGAATCCAATAAGAAATGTGGTGGAAAATATCGAAGGGAAATTCCAAATTTCATGAGAATCCCAAGTTCCAAATGTTATGAGAAACACCCAAACTATGTATACCCTCTTTATTGAGATGAAAAAAGCTGCTGGCGCGTTTTCAACCCAAGTCTTTGTGAAAGCAACGTGTGTAATCTAGTAGCCCAGCACAGGGTCTGTAGTAGAACGCATAAACACACAACACACACACAGTCAGACAGACAGAGAACAGCTCTCTGACCGACCCAGGGGTAGTCGTAGGCTGAGGGCACACGCATACAGACAGACACATTGGTGCATGGACAGACACGTCACACATACGTATACGCATGTACACAGTAACCAAAGCAGCTCACTGACCTAGGATTAGTGCCAGTAAGAACACACACACAAAGCAAGTACATTTTCATGCAATTATACACATTTTGCCATGGAATGTAGAGAAAGTGTTGCAGTTTTAAAGCAAATTGGCTGCAATTCTACACATTTTGACACTGGGCAGAGAGAATATTTAGCAAGTTTTATAACTAATTTCATGCAATTCTACTCATATATTTCCATGGTGCTGAGAGAAAAAGGAGCTGTTTTACAGCTAATTTCCTGCAATTCTACACATGTTGCCATAGGGTGGAGAGAAATGTTTGCAGGTCTTAATGTATCTGAGTGAGGGACTAATTTGGCAATCTAAACATTGTTAGTTGACATGGGCTAATTGACTATCAGTGACTGACATAACGAGAAACTGCTGATGCAAAATCGAGTTTCGAAATTGCACCTTGTTTAGTCTAACTCGAAACAGTAAGTTGAGACCCTGACTGAGTTCCTAAAATTATATCTAAAAAAAATATTGATCCAAGGGCCAGTTGCCCGTCGCCGTGTTACAGTCTGAATTCAAAATGGATTAAATAGTAACCCAGAATGACAACGTGAAAACATGTTTTTAGAAATGTTTGCAAATGTATTGAAAATGAAATACAGAAATCTCATGACACTCCAAATTGAGCTCAGGTGCATACAATTTCCTTTGGTCATCCTTGAGATGTCACTGCAACTTGATTGGTGTCCACCTGGGGCCAATTCAACTGTTTGGACATTATTTAGAAAGACCCACACCTGTCTATATAAGGTTCCACTGTTGACAGTGCATGTCAGAGCAGAAACTATACCATGAAGTCCAAGGAACTGTCTGTAGATCTCCAAGAGAGAATTGTGACGAGGTATATACTGTATCTGGGGAAGAGTTTAAAACAATTTCCGAGAGCACAGTGGCCTCCATCATTGGGAAATGGAAGAAATATCTAACTACCCAGACTCTGCCTAGAGTTGGCCATCCGACCAAACTGAGCAACCGGGCAAGAAGGACCTTGGTCAGGGAGGTGACCAAGAACCCAATGACCACTCTGACAGAACTACATAGTTCCTTGGCTGAGATGGGAGAACCTGCCAGAAGGGACAAGTCTCTACAGCACATCACCAATCTGGGCATTATGGGAGAGTGGCCAGACGGAAGCCACTCCTGAGAAAAAGGCACATGACAGCATGCCTGGAGTTTGCAAAAAGGCGCGTGAAAGACTCTGCGATCATAAAGCAAATGATTCTGTGGTCTGATGAGACAAAAATGTTTAGCCTGAATGAAAGCGCTATGTCTGGAGAAAACCAGGCACAGCTCATCACCCGTGTAACACCATCCCTACCGTGAAGCATGGTGGTGGCAACATCATGTTATGGGGATGCTTTTCAGAGGCAGGGACTGAGTGACTGGTAAGGATAGAAGGAACAATGAATGGAGGCAAATCCTTGATGAGAACCTGCTTCAGAGTGCAAATGACCTTAGACTGGGGCGACAATTTACGTTCCAACAGGACAATGACCCCAAGCATACAGCCAAAGCAATGCTAGAATGGCTTCAGCACAAGAATGTGAAAGTCCTTGAGTGGCCCAGCCAAAGCCCAGACTTGAATCCCATTGAAAATCTGTGGAAAGATTTGAAGATTGCTGTTCGCCGCTCCCCATTTAACTTAACAGCGCTTGAGAAAATCTATAAGGAAGAATGGGAGAAAATCCCCAAATCCAGATGTGCAAAGCTGATACAGACATACCCAAGATGACTCAAAGCTGTAATCGCAGCCAAAGGTGCTTCTACAAAGTATTGACTCAGGGGTGTGAATACTTATGTAAATGAGATATTTCTCTTTCATTTTCAATAAATGTGCAAAAATGTCTAAAAACATGTTTTCACTTTGTCATTATGGGGTATTGTGTGTAGATGGGTGAAGGGAAAACATATTTAATCCATTTTGAATTCAGGCTATAACAGAACAAAATGTGGAATAAGTAAAGGGGTATGAATACTTTCTGAAGGCACTGTAAATTACCAAAGTTACGATAGATTGCCATAGATTTTCTGTTGATTACCAAAATGACTGAATATTCCAGTAACTTTGGTAAACTACCGGTAGCTTTGCAACCCTACAGGGTAGTATTGTGAAAGCAGCCAGTGCATGTTGTATGAGCACTGCAGCGTGGCATGGCAATGGCATTAATTAATTATACACTACGTTACAGCTGCAGAATGAGCACCAGACACAATGACCCATACACACTATGCAATGAGCCAAGGACAGGCTTGCAGTACATGTTTGAGATTGGATACATTGCTGTCGGCCTGCACAGATCACTAATCTGCAAATGACCTTGCATCCGAAATAACTACTCATTATGTCATCAAGATTAGCGATTCTGTGTCTCGTCTTGCTCAAACTGATTCCCTTCAAATAGCTCATCTTATTGCGGATGGCCTTTGAGTACGTACCAGTATTTCCTCTGGAAAAATGTGTAGCAGTGGGGGGGGGGGGGGCGTAGGTGCGGTTCAAAGGAGGGTCCCCCTTGTTTTGGGGTTTTGTGGTCTCCCCAGAGCAATTCTATGTAGAAGGACTGAGAAGCTCAGTTCTGGTGACTTTTTAAAAGGACATTATATTCCAAAATGAATGAAAATGAAATGATGCTGACACCATCTAAAATATAATTTCTACCTCCCAGAAATTAGCCCAATAAATTATTTAAAAGTGGCAGTATGTAACTTTTTGGGCGACGTGACCAAATTCACATAAAAAGGTGAGTTATAGATCTATAATTCTACCTTTAAGGAAGTCTAAGAAGCGTTAGATCTGTTCTATGTGCGCTGTTTCTATGCTTCCTGTTAAGTTTGTTTTTGCATCTTTTACTTTCGGTTTTGTACACCAGCTTCAAACAACAATATAAACTGAAATTAGGCAAACTATTAGTTTTCGCAACCAGGAAATGGCAGAGTGATTTCTGCATTGTGCAACTTTAACATATTGGACCATGCATATAGCCTATGCATGGTCCATATTATTAGGTATGCTATTAGCAATAAGCATTATCACCTGTAGCCCAACTGATGCAAATCAAATCACATTTTATTGGCCGCATACACATATTTAGCAGATGTTATTGCTGGTGTAGCGTAATGCTTGTAATGCTTGCAGCATGGTGGCTATAAATAAATAGTCTGAAGCATGGAGTTGCCTATCTGCATTTAGTAAGCATGTATTGATTGAATTTTATGTCCCAAAAAACTTGCATAAACACAGTGATTATAATGTACCTGTAGGGTAACTTGGGGTGAAACGCCACACGGGTTAGCACGCATCCTGCTTGTACTTCTCACATAAACCACTTCATTGAAAAATTCTCCCAACACTTACTCTTGCGCATCAAAAAATGTAATCTCTGTCTAATCACAATTTAAGTCACTCCCCAAAAAATATTTTGAGAGAGGGAGGCGTTTTTACCTCAAGTTACCCTATAATTGACCCGTCTTACATTTAGCCCCACTCCCCTATGCACTCATGGCGAATTGCAGAGCAGTAACGTGCTTAACCATGCCTCTGCTAAAAACTCAGGATTTAAAATGGTGCAGTTCACATACTGTATTTAAAAATAAAGTAGGAATGGAAAGCTGGGATCCCCCTCTTTTTTAACAAAGGCCATTAAAACTGCTGTTTTCCCCGCGATTGCATTAAGAATTGTTGTGCATTGACTGCTTGTCAGAATGCATGGTTCCCTCCCTATGGCACTCGCAACTTGAATGCAGCTTGAGAGGAATATTTCTCAAATAGAACGCGCAACACCAAGCCGACTAGGTAACTAGATAAACCATTCTACTATGGAGTTGTCAGGTTGTTCTATTCATTACTCGTCAGATGCTCTTATCCAGAGCGACTTACAGTTAGTGAGTGCACACATTTTTTTCATACTTGCAGAGGAAAAGTAAATGTGGAATGTTCTAGCATCTTCAAAGTGCGCCTTAACAAATATTTGTTCATGTTAAATTATTTTTGGGGTGGGCGTGGCTTGGCACAGGGCCACAGTGAAATGACTGCTGCAGAAACACTGTAGGACACACTGTAATAGTATATCAAAGCAGATTAGTGATGGGACACAACATCCGATCTCATGGCCCGTTGCCTGCCTGGTTGGGAGATTCTCCTGTCTGCTGTGTCACACTAACCTCTGTTTATATCAGTCCTGTTACGCCTGGCCTTCACCCCTCTTTCTCTCGCTCTGTCTTTCTTTCAGTTGAAATAGCCTCTTCTTTTACATGTTGCTTTGGTAATAGTTCGGAAGCTTAACATCATTTAAGAGTGAAATATTGGATGTTAATATCACCTCAGTGATCTTGGCTTACTATATTCTTTTGATTACTCAAAATAGCTATAAAAACAAAGTCGCACAAACGTTTCGGCATCACTGTGCCTTCTTCAGGGTAATGTCATGAATGCTTGAACCAGGTTTTGTAGACAAACAGTGCAATTAGTGCAACCAATGACAGTAGTGAGGGGTGTGTGGTAATTGCTAGGTTGATCAGAATGAATTGAGCGAAAACGTTAAAAGACAATAGCCCACAGCATATTGAATATATTATGCCATTATTATCATTAGCATTAGCATCAACATACATTGTTTCATTTAATTTTACCTATATATTTAAATATTTCCAATTTTATTAAATGTTTTTGTTCATGCTAACTCATGCTTTTTATTAGATTACTCAAAATAGAACTATCCTTTATTCTGGTCTCCTCCCACTAGGCCCCCCTGCATATCACCTGCCTCCAGTCAAGGTCCCGCTGGCCAATAAGAAGAAGGAATCTAAACACTGCTTCCTCTGTGGCAAGAAGACTGGTCTGGCCACCAGCTACGAGTGCAGGTACACCTCTCAGTTCCTCTGTTATTCTCTCTCTCCCTCCACCCCTCTCTACATCACGGTCTCTCACTTCCTGCTTCCTCTGTGGCAGGAAGACGGGTCTGGCCACCAGCTGTGAGGGTGGTGACACCTCCCACTTCCTCATTCTTCCTCCCTCATTAATCGTTGTCATCCAATCTAGTCAGTTTTTTTGTGTATCTGTCCTACTACTAGGTATGCCAGGAGTAAAAAAGTCAAGTTTTATTATTTGGATGTACTAGGGCTGGGGGTTTGAAATAATTTCACATCGTATAGTATCATTCAATTTTGTCAGATATCCGGATATTCAAAATACATGTTTTTTTTTTTTAAAGTGTGTTTAAACCTGAGCGTTGCTGTGGTAGGGAGAGAGGCTGCAGCTGGCAGCGGAGGTTTATATGGGGTGGTGTGTGTAGCAAGCAGACAGAGGGAGAGGCTACAGCCAAGACTAGCTAACTAGCAGCCACAATGTTATTTATCATCCCAGATACTAGTGCCTGTCTTGACTGGAGTAGCCTAGAGAAGCTAGCTAGCTATCTACAGTGCCTTCGGAAAGTATTCAGACCCCACTGACTTCTTCCACATTTTGTTACGTTACAGCCCAGATCACTAAAAAAAACACTGAAATATCACATTTACATACAGTACCAGTCAAAAGTTTGGACACAACTACTTATTCCACCTACTCTGCGTCTCACAAAGACACGGCGGTTGGAACCAAAAATCTCAAATTTGGACTCATCAGACCAAAGGACAGATTTCCACTGGTCTAATGTCCATTGCTCATGTTTCTTGACCCAAGCAAGTCTCTTCTTCTTATTGGTGTCCTTAAGTAGTGGTTTCTTTGCAGCAATTAGACCATGAAGGCCTGAGTCTCCTCTGAACAGTTGATGTTGATGTGTCTGTTACTTGAATACTGTGAAGCATTTATTTGGGCTGCAATCTGAGGTACAGTTAATTGCCCATTTCTGAGGCTGGTAACTCTTAATGAACTTATCCTCTGCAGCAGAGGTAACTCTGGGTCTTCCATTCCTGTGGCGGTCCTCATGAGAGCCAGTTTCATCATAGCGCTTCATGGTTTTTGCGACTGCACTTCACTTGAAGAAACGTTCAAAGTTCGTGATATTTTCCAGATTGACTGATCTTCATGTCTTAAAGTAATGATGGACACTTGTTTCTATTTGCTTATTTGAGCTGTTCTTGCCATAATATGGACTTGGTCTTTTACCAAATAGGGCTACCTGATGTATACCAACCCTACCTTGTCACAACACAACTAATTGGCTCAAACGCATTCAGAAGGAAAGAAATTCCACAGATTAACATTTAACAAGGCACACCTGTTAATTGAAATGCATTCCAGGTGACTACCTCATGAAGCTGGTTGAGTGAATTTCAAGAGTGTGCAAAGCTGTCATCAAGGCAAAGGGTAGCTACTTTGAAGAATCTCAAATATAAAATAGATTTTGATTTGTTTAACACTTTTTTGGTTACTACATTAGTTATTTCATAGTTTTGATGTCTTCACTATTATTCTACAATGTAGAAAAAAGTAAAGATAAACCCTGGAATGAGTAGGTGTGTCCAAACTTTTGACTGGTACTCTATGTATTCAGACCCTTTACTCAGTACTTTGTTGAAGCACCTTTGCCAGCGATTACAGCCTAGAGTCTTCTTGGGTATGACGCTACAAGCTTGGCACACCTGTATTTGGGGAGTTTCTCCTATTCTTCTCTGCAGATCCTCTCAAGCTCTGTCAGGTTGGATGTGGAGCGTTGCTGCACAGCTATTTTGAGGTCTCTCCAGAGATGTTAGATCGGGTTCAAGTCCGGGCTCTGGCTGGGCCACTCAAGGACATTCAGAGACGGGTGAAGAGACAGGTGAACCTTCGCCCCAGTCTGAGGTCCTGAGCACTGGAGCAGGTTTTGATCAAGGATCTCTCTGTGCTTTGCTCTGTTAATCTTTGCCTTGATCCTGACTAGTCTCCCAGTCCCTGCCGCTGAAAAACATCCCCACAGCATGATGCTGCCACCACCATGCTTCACCGTAGGGATGGTGCCTGGTTTCCTCCAGACGTGACACTTGGTATACAGGCCAAAGAGTTCAATCTTGGTTTCATCAAACCAGAGAATCTTGTTTCTCATGGTCTGAGAGTCTTTAGGTGCCTTTTGGCAGACTCCAAGCGGTCTGTTGTGCCTTTTACTGAGGAGTGGCTTCCGTCTGGTCACTCTACCATAAAAGCTTGATTGGTGGAGTGCTGCAGAGATGGTTGTCCTTCTGGAAGGTTATCCCATCGCCACAGAGGAACTCTAGAGCTCTGTCAGAGTGACCATCGGGTTCTTGGTCACCTCCCTGACCAAGGCCCTTCTCCCCCGATTGCTCAGTTTGGCTGGGCGGCCATCTCTAGGAAGAGTCTTGGTGGTTCCGAACTTCTTCCATTTAAGAATGATGGAGGCCACTGTGTTCTTGGGGACCTTCAATGATGCAGAAATATTTTGGTACCCTTCCCCACAATCCTGTCTCTGAGCTCTACGGACAATTCCTTCGACCTCATGGCTTGGTTTTTGCTGTGACATGCACTGTCAACAGTGGGACCTTATATAGACAGGTGTGTGCCTTTCCAAATCACGTCCAATCAATTGAATTTACCACAGGTGGACTCCATTCAAGTTTTAGAAACATCTCAAGGATGATCAATAGAAACAGATGCACCTGAGCTAAATTTTGAGTCTCATCGCACAGGATCTGAATACTTATGTAAATAAGGTATTTCTGTTTTTGATTTGTAATGCATTTGCAAGATTTTCTAAACCTGTTTTCGCTTTGTCATTATTAGGTATTGTGTGAATATTGAGGATATATATATATATATATATATTTTATCCATTTTAGAATAAGGCTGTAACAAAATGTGAAAAAAGTCGAGGGATCTGAATACATTCCGAAGGCACTGTAAGCCAGCCAGCTATAGCTAGCTAGGCTAGGCTACATGCTGCGCTTTCTCCCCAACCCCGTTCAGATAAAACAGCCTACCTGTTGTTTGCTCATTGTATTCTAGTTCTTCTAATTTCACTAACTTTTAATTCCCTCATTTTATTCCGTATTGCGTTTGTTAGTGAACTCCCACTCCACTTGTTACACATTGAGCCTCTTTGCCACTTTGATTGGCCAACATAAACAATGAGCTACACACTGTGAAGGCTACCTGTTGGCTACCGGCCTTTTTATGGTGCACACCGTGCACATCATAAAAACTAAATTCAGAAGTTTGTTTTATTATAATGTCATGCATGGTATATCCTTGTTTGTAACAATGTCACATGGATATTTAAATTCAGTAAAAGCCTTTTCGGTGTTAAAATAGGCATTCAAATACTAACGTCGGTTCGTAATATTCGAGTAACCTTGCACATTCCTAGGATGTACAGGATACACATGGTATACACCGTCCAACGAAATGCTTAGTTGCAGGTTCGACAATGCAACAAAATATAATAATATGAACATGAAGTAAATGGCTCAGTAGAATAGAAAAAACGTTTTAGTATAATACAGAAAGGCACAATCTATAGTCTAATAGTTACACGTGTTTTAGGGAAGGTGGGATTGTTCCTGTCCAGTAGTTTATGTCATCAACATTATGATATCGCATGCTGCCTTAACAGTCACCACCACTAGAACCCTATTATCACTCCCCTCCTCCCTTCTCTCCTCCCCCCTCCCTCCCCCCTCCCTCCTCCCCTCTCCCTGTCCTTGCTTAAAGAACACAGTGTGTGGTGGTGATGTAACTGGAGCTGTGTAATCTCCTGGTCATAACACTAACCGTCTGATGTTGGAGTCACGCTGTGTTCAAAAGATTCTAATTGTAATTGGGACTAGAGCGGACTAGATCACATAGCGCTAACTGTGATACAGTGTTACACTTGGTGTGTGTGGTTGAGGAGATGATGCACCCATGGGTGTTATGAGTTCAGATGAAGGAAAGGAGATGATGAGATTTTTTTATTTTACCTTTATTTAATTAGGCAAGTCAGTTAAGAACAAATTCTTATTTACAATGACGGCCTACACCGTCCAAACCCGGACGACGCTGGGCCAATTGTGCGCCGCCCTATGGGACTCCCAATCACGGCCGGTTGTGATACAGCCTGGAATCGAACCAGTGGGTCTGTAGTGACGCCTCAAGCACTGAGATGCAGTGCCTTAGACCGCTACGACACTCGGGAGATGATGCACCCATGGTGTTATGAGTTCAGATGAAGGAGAGGAGATGATGCACCCATGGTGTTATGAGTTCAGATGAAGGAGAGGAGATGATGCACCCATGGTGTTATGAGTTCAGATGAAGGAAAGGAGATGATGAGATGATGCAACCGTGATGTTATGACTATAGAGTAGTCGAGGCCTGTTGGGATTCTGGAATACTGGAAATTATGATGCAATAACTTTCAATACTGTGCCCTTGGATGACTCTGAACCTTACCACTAGCTGCCTAGCACGAACCATCACACACACACACACGTTTTCAATGATTAATTGCTGTTAGTCATTCAGAATGGATTGTGGTCTCTCTTTCAGTTCCTCTGGGATGGGGAAAGGATAGAGCTCTAAACAACTAAAGCTTTCCAGTGCCTTCTGAAAGGATTCAGACCCCTTGGCTTTTTCCACTTTTTGTTACGTTGCAGCCTTATTCTAAAATGGATTAAATTGTTGTTTTTTTCCGCATCGATCTACACACAATACCCCAGAATGACAAATAAAAAAACAGGTTTTTTGAAATGTTTGCAAATGTATTAAACATAAAAAACGGAAATAATTTACGTAAGTATTCAGACCCTTTACTCAGTACTTTGTTGAAGCACCTTTGGCAGCGATTACAGCCTCGAGTCTTCTTGGCTGTGACGCTACAAACTTGGCACACCTGTATGTGGGGAGTTTCTCCCATTCTTCTCTGCAGATCCTCTCAAGCTCTGTTAGGTTGGATGGGGAGCGTTGCTGAATTTAGTGGCCTCCATCGTTCTTAAATGGAAGAAGTTTGGAACCAGCATGACTCTTCCTAGAGCTGGCTGCCCAGCCATACTGAGCAATCGGGGGAGAAGGGCCTTGGTCAGGGAGGTGACCAAGAACCCGATGGTCACTCTGACAGAGCTCCAGAATTCCTCTGTGGAGATGGGAGAACCTTCCAAAAGGACAACCATCTCTGCAGCACTCCACCAATCAGGCCTTTATGGTAGCGTGGCCAGATGGAAGCCACTCCTCAGTAAAAGGCACATGACAGCCCGCTTGGAGTTGCCAAAAGGCACCTAAAGACTCTCGGACCATGAGAAACAAGATTCTCTGGTCTGATGAAACCAAGATTGAACTCTTTGGCCTGTATACCAACTGTCACGTCTGGAGGAAACCTGGCACCATCCCTACGGTGAAGCATGGTGGTGGCAGCATCATGCTGTGGGGATGTTTTTTCAGCGGCTGGGACTGGGAGAGAGATTTCAGTTTTCATAGATTTGCAAACATTTCTAAAAACCTGTTTTTGCTTTGTCATTAAGGGATAATGTGTGTATATTGATGAGGGAAAAAAACAAACAATGTAATCAATTTTAGAATAAGGCTGTAATGTAACAAAATGTGGAAAAAGTCAAGGGGTCTGAATACTTTCTCAATGCACTGTAGCTGCAGGCTTTCAATAAAGTGTTACCAATTGGTGTTCTACTTACTAATATTGTTATTGTTCAGTAGAATTTTGTAATTATATCATCACACTTTCTGCTGCTTTAGGAGGTGAAAATTGAACAGTCACAGCCGTACTGTCTGAATAGGGCTGTTGTGTTCTTTCTCTCAGGTGTGGTAACAACTTCTGCGCCACCCACCGCTACGCAGAGACCCACGACTGCACGTACAACTACAAGAGCGCCGGACGCCGCTTCCTCCAGGAAACCAACCCCATCGTCAACGCTCCCAAGCTGCCCAAGATCTGAGCCCCTCCCCCTGTCCCCCCTCTATCCCTGCACTCCTCTTTCCTCTTTTGGGATGGAGGGATGAAAGGAAAATTAAATAACGGAAAGAAAGAAGGGATTTGATCACCACTGTGTGCTTTTTAACGACGGCAAAACGGCAAGTGTGAACAGAACGGAGACCACAGAATATGAACTTTAGTAGCTAGCTATCACCTCCGCTCCGGACAATGTGAACGAACTGTTGATCCGCTTTTACTCATAAACCTTGATCGTTTTTCCAGAGCAGAAAAGTATTGCATGTACATTTGTAGTTTTTAAAGCAAAATGTGTGTTGTGTATTTCACGTTTTAACAGAACAGAAGTGCACGACTCCAAGCATATGTTATATCCTGATATCTTCTGCTTTGTTTCTTTGTTTATCAGATTGTTTCTAAAAATAGGACTGCAGATCACTTTTTCATGCGACAAGTCTTTGAGAGATGCACTTTAGAATTATCATATTTATATACACCAATGCTTGACTTTGACATTTTTTAGAGGGAAGGCTCTTCTGTGTTTCTTTTGTAATTAAGGGGTTTTATGTTGTCTTACTGTCTATCATAATGTTTTTATATCCAGTACCTATCTCTCCTTTCCCCCTCTCCTATGGGCACATACATACTGGCATCACTCTTACAACACGTATTTTACTAAAGGGTCTAACACTTCCCGTTGATGAGAAACTACACTGAACAAAAATATAAACGCAACATGTAAAGTGTTGGTCCCATGTTTCATGAGCTGAAATAAAAGATCCCAGAAACGTTCCATACACACAAAAAGCTTATTTCTCTCAGATTTTGGGCACAAATGTGTTTACATCCCTGTTAGTGAGCATTTCTCCTTCGCTAAAATAATCCATCCACCTTGACAGGTGTGGCATATCAAGAAGCTGATTAAACAGCATGATCATTACACAGGTGCACCTTGTGCTGAGGACAATAAAAGGACACTTTAAAATGTGCAGTTTTGTCACACAACACAATGCCACAGATGTTTGAAGTTTTGAGGGAGTGTGCAATTGGCATGCTGTCTGCAGGAATGTCCACCAGAGCTGTTTCCAGAGAATTGAATCTAGCCAGAGAATACATTTCTCCACCTTAAGCTGCCTCCAATGTCGTTTTAGAGAATTTGGCAGTACGTCCGAAGGGCTTCACAACCACAGACCACATGTAACCACGCCAGCCCAGGACCTCCACCATCCAGCTTCTTCACCTGCAGGATCGTCTGAGACCAGCCACCCGGACAGCTGATGAAACTATGGGTTTGCAAACCAAAGGATTTTATGCACAAACTGTCAGAAACCGTCTCAGGGAAGCTCATCTGCGTGCTCCTCTTCCTCACCAGGGTCTTGACCTGACTGCAGTTTGGTGTCGTAACTGACTTCAGTGGACAACTGCTCACCTTCGATGGCCACTGTCACCCTGGAGAAGTGTACTCTTCACGGATGAATCCCGGTTTCAATTGTACCATGGCGTCGTGTGGGCGAGCTGTTTGCTGATGTCAATATTGGGAACAGAGTGCCCCTTGGTGCTGGTGGGGTTATGGTATGGGCAGGCAAAAGCTACGGACAACAAACACAATTGCAATTTGAATACACAGAGATACCGTGACGAGATCCTGAGGCCCATTGTCGTGCCATTCATCCGCTGCCATCACCTCATGTTTCAACATGATAATGCAAGGCCCCATGTTGCAAGGATCTGTACACAATCGTTGGAAGCTGAAAATGTTCCAGTTCTTCTATGGCCTGCATACTCACCAGACAAGGTCACCCATTGAGCATGTTTGGTATGTTCTGGATTGACGTGTACAACAGCGTGTTCCAGTTCCCGCCAATATCCGGCAACTTCACACAGCCATTGAAAAGGAGTGTGAAAAGATTCCACAGGCCACAATCAACAGCCTGATCAACTCTATGCGAAGGATGAGGCAAATGGTGGTCACATCAGATACTGACTGGTTTTCTAATCCACGCCCATATTTTTTTTTTAAAGGTATCTGTGACCACAGATGCATATCTGTATTCCCAGTCATGAAATCCATAGGTTAGGACCTAACACATTTATTTTAATTGGCTGATTTCCTTATATGAATTGTAACTCAATAAAATCTTTGATTTGTTGCGTGTATATTTTTGTTAAGTGTATAATACAGATTACTTTCATGTTAATTCAAGATCAGCTTTGACATAAGTATGCAAATTGTATAATTTATGTACGTTTATCGGCAATACTCTATGCCTGTCAAACTAGTTTATTGAAATGCAGGGTGGGGTCACAGAATTTCGGCTTGTGGCTGCCAATTGCCATGAAAAAACATGATTTTGTATAATTTATTATTTGCACAGCTGTTGCAGAAAACATAACATTAACTGTAATGGAGGAAGGGGCTAATCTAATAAAATATCTTTGTGTTTACTAACATGTTTGAATGAATTTATTTGTTTTCTACAACAACTGGTCATTTGTCTGACTGTAAAGACCAATGACTGGAATATAAATGTCTAACGTGTACGTAGCCATTACAGGTTTAGCAGTTATCATTGCGTTTGGACGTAGCTCAAGACCTTCACGCGTTCAACAAAAAGCTATCATTTTACGTGATAACGGCATGTGAATTCGAACATCCGTCCATATATCTGCTGTACTTACTCGGTTGGGAGAGCATGGCGCTTGCAAAGGATTGTTGGTTAAATTCCTAGGGCCACCCAAAGCGTCTGCTAAATGGCATATTACTATACCTCCTCATCACTACTGGTACTTAGCATACCTCATCACTACTGTACTTAGCATACCTCATCACTACTGTACTTAGCATTCCTATCACTACTGTACTTAGCATACCTCATCACTACTGTACTTAGCATACCTCATCACTACTGTACTTAGCATACCTCATCACTACTGTACTTAGCATACCTCATCACTACTGTACTTAGCATACCTCATCACTACTGTACTTAGCATACCTCATCACTACTGTACTTAGCATACCTCATCACTACTGTACTTAGCATACCTCATCACTACTGTACTTAGCATCCATCACTGTACTTAGCATTATCACTAACTGTACTTAGGGCATTCCTCATCACTACTGTACTTAGCATACCTCATCACTACTGTACTTAGCATACCTCATCACTACTGTACTTAGCATACCTCATCACTACTGTACTTAGCATACCTCATCACTACTGTACTTAGCATTCCTATCACTACTGTACTTAGCATACCTCATCACTACTGTACTTAGCATACCTTATAACTACTGTACTTAGCATACCTCATCACTACTGTACTTAGCATACCTCATCACTACTGTACTTAGCATACCTTATCACTACTGTACTTAGCATATCTCTTTTCCTCAGCCTACTCTTATCACCCTCCTCTGAGAAGTCTTGTGTAAGTATTTATTTTTGTCCTCAATACATTCCTTGTCTGCCGTTTGAGAGCCTCCAACCGTCGATGGCATTCTGTTCTTCAAGCACTACAGTACTGAAGGGACCTCCTCTTCTCCGCATGCCTCATCTCTTCTAAAAGTGTCCTTCTGAACGTTCTGGGAAATAAGAGGATGACTGCCTACGAAATGGGCTCTGTCTGGTATTCTCCATTTATCCTAGTTAACTAGCTACTAGGTGACCAACTCAGTGGCCTTGTTAGTGTCCGCTCTGAGATTGAAAAGTTGGGGGTTCGATCCCTGGTCAAGTCATACCAAAGACAAAAAATGGGCCCTGATTCCTCTGCTTGGCACTCAGCATTAGGGAGATTGATTGGGGGTAGGTCCCTGCAACAGACTAGCATCCTTGTCCAGGGGGGTACTGGTACATCAAGCTGGCTCACGCTACAGAAACAGGAGATAGGCTCCTTCCCTATGGGTCGTTCTGGCTCAGACAAGGCTTACTTGGTGAAGGCTTAGTTACTAGGGCTCTGGTCCAAAGATGTGGACGATACTGAACAGGGTGTTGGGTTCTGGTCAAAAATAGTGCAGTACTAATAGTGGTACTGCAGTAGAACCTAAATGATCCCAAGGAGGGAAGTTGGTGTCACCGGTCCACAAGCATCAGCAAATCACAGTGTATAGGAACTATATAGCGAACAGGGTGACCGAAGTAGTGCTCTACATTTCAGACCCAGACAGTATGCCAGGGAGATCCTATATTCTTTGAATTATTGGATCTTTAAGCAATAGGCAAATCTGAAAAGATTCCCTATTCCCTATGTAGTACACTCCTTTTCATTGTTAAATAGAATAGAAAATAATTTACTGATTCATGTCACATAGAACCCCCCCTTCTCCCCCGCCCAGACCCACCCAATGTGCCACTCCTGTAGTTTCTTAGCAACAAGCTGGCTTTTATTACAGGGTTACTTTGTGATTTTGGCAATGAAGCCCTTTATCAACTTCCCCAGAGTCCGATGAACTCATGGATACAATGTTTGTCTCTGCATCCAGTATGAAAGAAGTTACAGGTAGTTTTGAAAGCCAATGTTAACTAGCATTAGCGCAAAGACTGGAAGTCTATGGTATCTACTAGCATGCTAGCAGTTACCATAGACTTCCAGTCATTGTGCTAATGCTAGCAAGCAACTTCCTTCAAACTGCACGCAGAGATATAAAAATGGTATCTACGAGTTCATCTGACTCTGGGGTAGTAGATAAACGGCTTAATTGCCAAAATCCTGACGTATCCCTTTAACATGAGGAATTTAAGACCTCTCTCTCTCAATAATTCTGATGAAAACAGGAGGGATGAGCAGACCAGAGGAGAACATATTATAGCACCCCTTGATATGGAGATGGTGCTTCTTAAAGACTTCATCCTGCCAATGAAACCATGTCAAAGGTTAAAACTGTGTTCTGGGCCTGATTCACACCATAGCACCAAGCCAAGCTGTACTGGGCTGGCCTGGTTCCGCATCCACCATAGCAGAGTATGGTTTGGGTTGGCCCTATACTATAAATTAGGCATTGCACTTCTAGATTCTAGACTAATGACCGTTGTTTCGCCACAATGTCTTGAACTGTGATCCATAAAATATGTATAACCCATAAACAAA